AGCCATCAGGCCCCACCTGGAAAACGTTCTTCTTTTGGGCTTTCAGATGACCGGGCTGGACTACTTTTCCTCCTACCTCTCTAGCAGTTCCTTCTCAGTCTGTCTTGCTGATTCTTCCTCCTCTCCAACCTCTGAATAGGAAAGTGCTCCAGGACTTAGTCTGTGATCTCTTGTCTTTTATAGCGATACTCACTTCTTAGGCAATCTCACTCAGCTCTTAGATTTGAATGCACATATCTGCTGATGGCTTCTAAATTTCTACCTCCAGCCTGCACCTTCCCTCTAACTCTAGACTCAGTTATCCAATTACCTGCTTGACATCTCCATGTGTTTCATCTCAAACCTGACATGGCCAAACTCGCCTATTCATAGTCCCCTTACATCAGATTGTCTTACAGTCTTCCTCACCTCAACTAACATCAGTTCCATTCTTTCAGTTAAACAGGATTATTCTTTTTACAAGACTGATGTAATTATTTAATAACACAGGAAAATAACATGTTATTAAACAAGCTGGTTACAAGTAGTAAGTAGAAGATACCTTCATTTTTGATTTTTAAAAAATTAAAAAGTATAGGGCTAGGTGCAGCAGCTCACACCTGTAATCTCAACACTTTAGGAGGCCAAAGCAAGAGGATTGCTTTAGGCCAGGAGTTCAAGACCAGTCTGGACAACATAGTAAAGACCCTGTCTCTACAAAAAAAAAAAAATTATCCAGGCGTGGTGGTGCATGCCTATAGTCCTAGCTACTTAGGAGACTGAGGCAGGAGGATCGCTTGAGCCCAGGAGTTCAAGGTTACAGTGAACTATGATCAATCCACCGCACTCCAGCCTGGGTGACAGAGTGTGACCCTATCTCTAACTATAATAACTAACTAACTAACTAACTAAATAAATAAATAGTATGAACATGTATACAAGAAACTGGAAGTTTATACACCAAAACATCAACAGTATTTACTTCTAACAGGATTATTCTTGACTTCTTTCTCTTTTACAGCTTAAATCCTGTTTGTCAGCACACCCTGTCAGCTCTACCTTCAAAGTATACCCAGAATCCAATCCCTTTAAAGCACCACCCCTACTCTTACCATCCCTAGCCTGGACTTCTGCAAAGCCACACAGCAAAGGGTATGGATGTAAAACTTTATGCAAGGAAACACTGAAGAGCTGGGAACAATATCCATCTACCAAAACACCCAACACTTAATTCTTTAAAAACCGGTGTTGTGAATTTGCCAACCTTAACTCTCACCATCTAGATGAGAAAATATTTTGGCTCAAGACTATCCCAACACAAGAAAATAAAGGCCGGAGACAATGAGAATATGTGGTTTTTTCCAACCACAGTTACCATTCAGTAGAACAGGACAGGAAAAAAATAAGAGCAGATGGATATTTTCCTACTAAGCATCTTTTTATATTTGTAATAATAGAGGTGGGCTGTTTCTTTAAAAGGAAGGTTTATTTAAAAGTTTGTAATGCACAACCATCTGTTAATGCAGCAATTCTGTACTAAAGGCACTGTGTCCAAGCAAAATGTTATCACGAAAAGATCGATCAGCCATGGGCCTCATTTAAACCACAGAGCAGACACCGAGAGAGATTTCTGCGCAGGACGTTCCTGGGGAACACTCTAGACCTAGTCCTTGTGGGGAGCAAAGGAGGCAGGCCTGGGCAGAGAGAAGTTGGGCTGCAACACAGTCCAAATAAAGGCCATTGCTGTTTCCGCAGGGTCACCACAAAACACACACTGTGAATCGTCACCTTCAAGCTTGAGTCTAAGGAAAGGATTCAAATGGGTCCCAGATAAGCAAGGAGGGGAATAAAAAGGAAAACATGTTCATGCTGCATTTGGAAAACAGATGATCCAGAAAGAAAAAGAAAAAATGGGCTGAAAATAAGCAACACAGCAACTATTCAGAACTTCTGCCAGAATAACATCAGGGAAGGCCTTTGGCCCAGCAACCCCACTTCTGGGAATCTATTCTATAGACACACCTGCACTAGTATGAAATAACACGTAGATTATTCATGGAGGCATGTTTATAATAACAAAATAATGTAAAGAGCCCAGTACCCACCAACAGGGATTAATTATATAAACAACTAAGTAATAATGCAACCTTAAATTAAAAAAGGAAGAGCTGATGTATATATAGCCTTTCTTCTGGGCTCTGCAGTAAATGGTAAATCTCTACCAGTTACCTAAGCCAAAAACCTAGGTTCCGACCTCGATCATTCTCTTTCCCTCACCTCTTGTATCAAATCCATCAGTGAGTCCTGATGACCCTGTCTCTGAAAGATTTCTCAACCCATCTACTTCTTTCTCTATCTCTGCTATCTGCCCACGTCAAGTCACAAAGTTAAACTGATATACCAAGTAGGAATTCTTTCAGTTACAAGTAACAGAAAATTCAACTCAACACACCTCAAGCACCCCCTCAAAAAAGAAGAAAAGGAAAAAAGATTCATTTTTTGCCCAACTGGAAACCCCAAGTGGAATACGCTACAGAATAACAGCTGAACCCAAGTATTCAAATAATGTGACCAGGGCTCTGGCTCTCTCCATTCCACCTTCCTCTGCGTGGCCTCTTATCAGGCAGTCTCTAAACACACAGTGGCCGCGACGGCCCCCTGGAGTTCTAGGCTCACATCAAAAATCCCAGAGAAAACAGTGTCTCCTTCCTCCATAAAAAAATCCCAAGGAGGACTCTGACTGGCTTAGCTTAGGTGCCAGCAAGGTGGCAGGTGGGAGGAGGACAACGAAAATGGGGGAGAAAGAGTCAGTACCTCCTGAGCCGTACGGAATGGTTACCCTCCCCAACACACACACACGCTCAGAACAGGTTTCTGTTACCAGCAGAAAGGGAGAGGGAAAGTGTATCTCTTTGCTGCTCCTAAAAAAGAAATCCTTCTTCCTATACATAAAGTTTCAAGAATTCTCCTGCCTAATACAATAAACCATCTACGTACGGTATAAAACATAATCACTTCCTCTACAAAAGAAGATCTACTAGGTTTTGTGCAGTTTCTGTATCCAGCAGCAGCAAAGCTAGGCTGCTGGGTAATGTGCATTCCTCTGGTCCTGTTCTAGATATGACTCCCCAGGGTCTGGCACTTTTAGCTAAAAAATGAGAATATGACCACTCAAGTCACCCAGTATAGAACAGTGGAGGGAAAAGTGGTTGTATTCACCACCATTCATGGTCCTTCATGTTTCCTTATGGAAACTGGAGACAATTTTCCTTTTTTTTTTTTTTTTTAAGAGACAGGGTCTGGCTCTGTTGCCCAGGGTGGAGTACAGTGGCCTGATCACAGATCACTGCAGCCTCAAACTCCTGGGCTCAAGCCATCCTCCTGCTCAGCCTCCCGAGTAGCTGGGACTACAGGGGCACAACACCATACCTAGCTAACTTTTTATTTTTCGTAGAGACGGGGTCTTGCCATGTTGCCCAGGCTGGTTTCAAACTGCTGGCCTCAAGTGATCCTCCCACCTCAGCCTCTTAAGTAGCTGGACTACGGGTTCGTGCCACCACTGCCGGCTGAGGATTGGTTTTCGAAAGAAAAAAGACTGAGTGAGAAGGTGGCAGGGTGAAGAGAAGGGCCAGATGACCAGTTCACACAGGTTTCTGGCAGGGAGTAGAAAATGGGGAGGCGTTTGGTTGAGGATGGACGTACAATCTGTGAGAAAAGACGGAGAGAAGGGTTTTTAAGATTTTTGCAGCACGTGCATAATCTTCTCCCCCAGCCATCCTGGAACTGCATTCGACTGCTTTTTTCCTGTATGCTCATTATAGAGACGGGCCTTGTAGTCTACGTAAATCTCCAGTCCTACTCACATTATAACACTATTTATTTCACATTTCTGTGCCAGGCATTGTGATAAGCACTTAAACATGCTCCTTCTCATCTGACCCTCAAAAAAAAAAAGAAAACAACAACAAAACAAAATTTCGAGTTTGCTATTATTATCATTTCAATTTGAAGGATAGGAAATTGAGGCTGGGAAAGGTAAAATGATATATCTATACTAGTTAACGGGTGGGCCAAGATTTGAAGTCAGGCCTTTGAGACTCCTTCATTGAACAAGTATTTAACAAGGGCCAACGAGGGCCTCCTCTGTGCCAGGCATTCTAGGACCCTGGCTCTACACAGCAGCAAAGTCCCTTCCCTCACGGAGCCCATCTCCTGGGCTAACAAGAACGCCGCCTCAGAGAATTTAAGATGTTATGAAGGCAATGGGGCAAGGAGCCGCTCCGTAAGGAGTCCCAGGGCCCGAGAGACGTCAGCCCTTGACCGGGCATTACGTTACCGTTCGGTCCGTCCCGACGCAGAGCGGGCGGCAGGCGGGGCGCCGGGGTGCACGGGCCGAGTCGCAGGTGGCTCCCCCAGTGCGGGCCGCGGGGCTCCGGGCCTGGCCGCCACTGCCTGGGACGCCAGCACCAGGGCGGGCGCCGGGACCACGGACACTTCTCACCGTGGTCCTGCCGCTGGCGGCTCCGGGGACCCACTGGACCCGGCCCGCGGCGACTGTTGGACCCGCCCCGCGCCCGCATCCCACGCTCCCGCCCGGGACACCCTCACCCTGCCGGGTCCCAGCCACACCACGGTGACCCCTGCCTGGCCCTGCGGACCCCCACAGGTGACTCCGACCCGGTGACCCAACCTAGCCCCAGGACCGTCCCCCCAGGTGACCTGACCTAGGACCGGACCCCTGCCTGAGGTGACCCCGACCCAGCCGCAGGACCCGGAGGTCTCCCGCGCTCCCGAATTGAGGCCGCAACTGGCCACACCCCGGGATACCGGGTCTTCTCTCATAAACTCGACGCCCACTCCGATGGCCAAATTCCAGAAGGTTCCTGGCCCTCATCCCGCCTTCCATTGGACAGGAGCGAGGAGCCACCCGCGAGAGGCCCAAGAAAGGAGAGGCTCCGGGGACAGCGCGGAAGGGGAAGTGGGAAAAGGGCAACGGAATGGGAATTTCCCGGTGTGATTACTTCGACTGCTGTGACATGCGTGTGCGCAGAGCCATTCTCCTCAGGGTCCGCCCCGGGCCCCGCGCGCTCGGCCTCGCGCCGGGAACCTCCGCCGCGCGCCCCCTGGCGGACGTGGGCGCTGCGAAAGCGCGGGCTGGCGGGCGGCCCGGCACAAGCGCGTTTAGCCGCAGCGTGGCGGGCTTGGCGCGCGGACGAGCGCGGCATGCGCGGGGCACTGCGCAGGCGCGGGGCCGGGCCGGCCGGGGCAGCAGAGGCGGCCGGGGGCGAGCCGGGCACCCGCAGGGGCAGTCGACTGCGCACGCGCAACCCGGCGCGCCCCCTGCAGGAGCCCGCGTGTCCACCAGTCGCGGGTCACAGGCGCTCCCTCCCCGCAGGGAGGCGTCGCAGCTGTCAGCGCCGGCGGCCGCCGCCCCTGCGAGGCTGGAGCGCAGCCGCGGGGCGAGGGAGGGGACCCCGCGAGAGGCTGCGCGCCGCCCCCGCCCCGGCGCTGAGGATCGGTGAGTGCCGCCGGGACCCGGGGCTCGCGGCTCCGGGGTCGCCTGCGCGCCCGGGCCCGCCTTTCCCACCCTTGCCGGCCGACTGGGACCCCGGGCCGCCCCGGCCCGCCCTGCTCCCCGCGCGCCCGCCCGGCTCCCGCAGGTGCGGCTCCCGCACAGGGGGCGCAGGGGCCTCTGCCTCACGCGCCCTGGGTGTGTCCGCGGCACTGCGGGCGGCTCCTGAAGCCGGCTTCGCGGAGAAACTTCACCTCACCGGAGCCGGCATCACTGCGGAATCCTTTGTGCGGAGCGGGGGCGGCCGGCCATTCGCACCGCGCAGCCCTGGTGCGGACAGACGCGCCGGCTCCTGCCGCGCAACCTCTGGGCGTGGCGACCCGGCGTCCCGGGCTGGCGACGGAGGCAGGGCCGCAGGGATGCTCGGCTCGGCTGCGGGCTCCCGGCGCAGGTGGGAATGCGTCTCCTGCTCCCACTCCCTCACTCCGGTCAGCCCCCGAGCTGGGGTCCAGCCGTCCACCGTCGGTGGTGGGAGCCTGCGACGCCCTCCCGTGTGGGTGTCCAGGGAGCGGGGACCGGTCCAGGCGGAGGGGCCCGCAGCAGCCCAAGGGCCGCCCTCGCCCTCCCCGGTGCCCACGGTCGCTGCGTGCGCGCCATGAGTTGGTGTTCCATAGGTTCTGGCTCCTTCCCAGGCCGGCTCCAAGCTCCATGAGGGCCGGGCCTGTCTTTTGAGCGAGGGCTTAGGGTAGGCAGGTGCTTGGTGTCGATTTGTTGCATGGACGGATGTCCCTCCACACTTCCTTGTACATGGCGGAATGAGAGCGTGTCATTTCTGTTTGCCTGTTGGCCTCCTGGACTGCAGCTCCTTGAAGGCTTGGATGGGATCGTGTTGGTGTTCGCGTTCCTGGCACATAACAGGTGCTCAGGAAATGCTGGCTGAACGGGTGGCTAAGACCCTCTGACCGCGGAGGCCCAGGCGAGGTGCAAGTGGAAGCGTTTGACAGTTTTCTTCTGAGCGACCATATCATTTTATTCAGAAAGTCTGGGTGCTGCCTTTTGTAAACTTGAAAACACTAAGACAGTTTTCTTTTAGCGAGTGGGTCTCGTGGGAAATGTAAAAGAAAGGGGAAAACAGGTAAAAATCGATGCCATGGGAATCTCCCTGTGCTTTATCTTAACTCCACAGGAAATGTTTTTAACTGAACCTTTGCTTACCATATCTGACAAACAGGATGACATCTTTCCCTCTCTACGGTGATCTGCCACCATTCTGACCAGACAGCCTCTTGGAACAAGAGGGTAGCTCAAGTCATTTCTAAAAAACATTAGCGTTCCACAGTGCATGTGCCAGGCAGTCTCATGGGAACCTATTTTGACTTAGTCTCGACTGGGAAGGCCCAGGTAAGATCCCTAGTTTACAGTTTTTTCTCCAGCCCTGCTTCTCGAAATGGCACAGAAGCCTCAGCTATTGAGCCTGTGCAGGGGAAGCCTTTAAAACTCTGGAGTCTGCCCTGGTGGGGAAGGCTCTGCACCTGATTGAAAGATTAACTGGACACGGTCCCTGCTCTTGGAGGCCTCAGGATGGAGCTAAAGAGGTGTTATATTCACAAATAGCTGTGACATAAGATGGAACAAGATGAGTACCACACGACATGTCCGGAAAAGGTGCTGCAGGTGCCCAGAGGTGGGGGAGGAGTGGCTGGGTCTCCACTGAGGCTGCACGTTACAATCACCTGGGGAAACATTCCCATTCCCAGAAGAGCCCAGAATCTCCAGGGGTGGGCCTCAGACATCAGCTTCTGTCTTAAAGTGCTCCAGAAAATTCCACTGTGCAGACAGCCAAGATGAAAAACCCCGAAACAGGCTCATCAGAGATTGCTTCACAGAGGGTGTGGTGCTAGAAGCGGGCTGGGAAGTGACAGGTAGGGTTCAGCAGGTAGAGGCAGGTATGTTGGGTGATATCCCAAGCAGACAAAATGCTGAAGGCCCCCAGTTTTTGGGGAAGAGTAAGGTACATCAGTCCCTGTGCTGGGAGAATCCTGCAGCACCCATTCCCTTGAATGGCTCAGAGGGGTTTGCGGTGTTCAGAGAGGTTTGGAGGCAACAGGCAGACAGGCGCCTTCGGAGGAGCCATGTAATGAGGTCCTTACTACCTGGCTTGTTACAGAAGATCCATTGTTACCTCTCCCCGGGGATTCTCGATTGCCTCATTACCTCATTTCCTACCCTAGAGAGGCAGAACAGCCAGCCAGACAGGGAAATGAGACTGAGGCCGCAGAAGGGTTAGGGAAGATTTTGTGGCACTCTCTCCCAATAGCATCCTTTAAACCACATCTTTGGCTTAAAAATATACCCTGCCAACCCCTACCAGGAGCTTCAGTGTAAACTCAGAGCCATGTGATCCTAGGGAGACAGCTGATTCCAACCCTGGACAGAGCCGGTGGTGCCGAGCGTGAGAACCAGTGTGCTGGGACTCCACCTGGGCTGCTGTGCAAATGGCCACAGCCTCACACCCAGCCTCGGGGGCTCTGGGACAGTGGCTGTGGCTTGTGTATTTGTTCCTACCTTATCCACACAAGGGCTGCTGTGTAAACAAGTAATCCTCATACTTTTTTCTGTGCACTGCTTTGTGTGCAAGAATTTGAGCATCAACACAATATATAATATTTATTTAGTTATAAATTAGAGCCATATACTATAGTCCTGAAATATTGTGGACATAGAAATATACACAAATACAGGTCTTTTAAAGAGGTGAGAGGTGAAATAAACGTGATTATGTTTTTCCAACATATAAATGGTAGCAAAACTATTGCATAAGCATGCTTTTTTAAAGTAAAAGCCATGTGATCAAGTCCACACCCCATGTATGCACACCTGGTGAAACTTACGTGCAGCGTTTGGAGGTCTGGTTCTAAGTTCTGTTTATTTCAGATGCTGCTCCCTGGGGTGTTCACAAGTAAACACGATACACCTGGTGCAGGAGGGTACTCATTTTTCTATCCCATTCACCAATCACATGAGGGCTCTGGATGAATTTGGGCCGGTGTATGATCAGGGGCTATCAAGGAAGGTGAGAATTCTGGTTTTGAAGGTTTTTTAGTGTGCAGGTATAAGTGTTTAAGTAGATGATATTCTTGTAGCATCATTGGCAATGCACTCACATCTTCAAACGTCCATTTTCAAAATGCTCTGTTCTTGGCACAGATTATTTTGAAAAGCTGTAACTCATGGCATTGTCACCTTTTCCTTGAAGGGACAAATTTAAATGTGTTTGTTTAGAAGAAAAAAGTAGCCAAGCATGGTGGCTCATGCCTGTAATCCCAGCACTTTGGGAAGCTGAGAGGGGAGGGTTGCTTGAGGCCAGGAGTTCCAGACCAGCCTGGACACCATAGTGAGACTCATATCTCTACACAAAAAATAAAAAATGTTAGCCGGGCATGGTGGCACGCACCAAAAGATCATGTACTGGGTAAAAGATTAAACCAAACCCTACACCTTCAAGCAGTGTCACTACACGTTTGGACGCACCCCAGCCCCCTTCTTGGTGCAGCACCCAAGGCCCTCGCGACATGGAGCCCGTGTCTCCTTCCCTTTCTGGCTCATTCCCGCTACTGCTCCTCCTGTCGCTGTCCCAGCACCCAGCACGACCTTCTGTTCCCCACACACGCTCTTTCACCTTTCCAGGATCCTGTAATGCCCTCCCCACTCCAGCCAATGAGCCCCTCCACACCGGTCTCCCTTGTCACCTCCTCCCTGTTGCCCACCTGGGCCATCCCTCTGTCCTACTCACCCTCACACACACACACACAATTAATTCCAGTCTTCTCCAGTGTCTCGTGATGTTTTATTCAGCATCAGTTACAGCAAGTACAATGCATACAAGCATGCATAGACTGCGATTAGGAACATTATCATTCTCATTCCCAAATCCTTAGTACCTCGTACAAGTGCCCATCACATAGTAAAAACTTGGCAAATGTTTGTTGAATGAATAAATGCTTCTTGTCTTGTGTATCCTAAGAGGCCATAGATTCTACCAGCAAACATTAAGTACCTGTCACACTTGCTTCACCACAGTTACTGGAAAGACCATTTTTAGAGGAATCCTGTGTGCTGTCAAGAGAGTTCTCAGAAATTAGCAGCCCACAGTATGTGCTCACTATGCCGCAATTCAGTTGCTCCCCTAAAAAACAAACATTGAAATACTCAATGATTGGTGTAATGTTGAATATCTTAACAGTAAGCACACAAACTTTTTAGTAGAGGGAAAAAGAGGTTTGCCTTCCCCTTCCGGGCTGTGTCCCTGGGACAAGTGAAGTGAGCCCTCCTCAGAGGAAAGTTCTCCACAAGCTCTTGTCGGGCGGAGGTGGCAGCGGCTTTGCAAGTGGCTGCAGTCCTGAGTGTTTGCCTTGGAGTAGCTGAAGGGGCCCGGCTCCTGTGCTGGTCTGGGCCATAGCCATCACTTCTGGGGACTCTCTGTGCAGCCGCAGGGTCAAGTGTTTTAAGGAACTTTAACTTCCTTCTCTCGGGTACATTTGCTTTCGTAACCAGAAAGCTTTCCAGATTTTATAATTCCGGGATCTCCTCCTTCAAATGCCTTTTACCCAGACAGAACAGATACGAGTATAGCATTCAGGGAGACTTTAGCTAACGCCTCGCACGCACAGAGCAACAGGCTGGGTGCTGTGGGGCGCGGAAACACATGAGGTACCTGTGAAGGTAGCGGGGCTTACGGGATACCTTTTCCTTTTGGTTTCTGAAGTTCTAGGAGCAATATATTAAAGTGTTATAAAGAAGTTCACTGGTTTTAGGATCCACAAGACATAGTAGTATAGTGGTAAGAACAGACTTGGACATTAAAACAGGCTGAGGTTCCAATCCTGGCTCTGCGGCTTTCTTGCTGTGTGACTTGGGGCCAGGTACTTCCTCTAGGCTTCTTCGCCTAGAGAAGGTAATGACACCAGGAGCCAGAGCGGGGTCAGGAGGCTACGGAAGTATAATCCTTCTAGGTATAAAAGTGCAGAATATAAAAAGTGTCTTATATTTTGATGTATCAGGAGAGAGCCCTGGGGTAACTGTTTTCTAAATCCATATTCCTTTGTGAGCAGATCTGCTATAAGTAACATACTTACCACCTATTTTGCTCTTGTATTTTCTAACTTGGTAAGAGGTGTTTCATGATTATTTTCCAAATTTTGCCCACACGCCCTCCATCTACCCAAAGGTGCCAGAGAATCATGCCGGCGAGCCCTGGGTCCCTCCTGATGTCCCAAAAGGCCTCAGCGCTCTCAAACCCCAGGGTCGCCCTGCTCCGTCCGAGAGGCGCCCCGGCCCCACCCCGGAGCCCTGTGTGCAGGGCCGCCTCCTCCCGGCCGGTTCTCCTGTAGCTGAAGGAAGACCCACTGCCTAGAGCCTCTCCCAGCGCTCAGGTCAGTCCTCTGCTGCTGCTTCTCCGGCCTGTGTAGGGAGGTGGACGGTCCGTCTTTGCGCTTTTCCTCCCAGGCCTGGGCCTGGAGAGGACGGGATTAAGCATGGGACGTTTTCTTTCTTGGCCAGACGTTTCCAGAAAGGGAAGTCATCTATTTCTCTGACCAGTAGGGTTCTTTGAACTGTGACCCTTTTATGTTCCTCTCTTGGTAGAGGGAGAAAGCTCATCTCAGCCAAACTGCTGTCCATCCAGATTGGCCTTCCCAGGACGACCAGCCCTGACTGGAGGTGCTAGCGTCTCTGTTTTGCCTAAACCGCTTCTAGAAACCTCTCATAAACCACAGCCCTTAGTGTGTATCATTAAGTCATTGCTCTTTTATTAATTGTCTGCAACTGATTTTAAGACAGGATTTCTACCTTATTAATTTGTAAAGAATTGGGATAATTTATTAAGGTGCCACTTAATAGCACTAAATAGTAATACTATTTTAAGCTTTAATTTCTTCACATTTTAACCGTGTAGTTAATTCAAAGGCATATTTTAAATTAATTCGTAACTAATTTTTTGCACTTGTGTTTTATACAAATATTTATTGACTATCCCTTTAAAGCATACATTCTGAGTATTATCAGATAGCTGTCAACAGCCACATCTTTTAAAAAAACAGCAAGAATTTTAATAAAAAAGAGTCTTAATGGAAATGATTTTCAACTGACCGAAGTCAAAAGTAAAATGGGTCATTTTAAAAAGCACACAGCCCCTCACTCCGAGCACTGGAATCTCTAGAGGGCCATTTTGGTGGTTGTGTTAGCTCGTGTTAACTAATAAATGATCCGCTAATTGTGTCTCCGTATTCTGTGCTGTCTTCGCCTGACTGATGGATGGTGTTTGATTAGTATTAGCTGCGTGGAGCTGATTACCTGAACTTGAAACTCTTCCACTGTGAGTCACGGAGGCTTTCCTGCACTTGAAGTTCACTGAGCTGGGAAGGGCTTCTTTCCGCTTTGTCTGCAGTTCTCAGCGCGTGGACGGGACTCGAGGCTCTCTGGGGCTCCCCCTGCTCCATTGCCTTCCCTGCCCTCTCGAGGTGGAGCAGCCGTGTCCGCACAGCTCGGCCCTGTGCCCTCAGCCTTCAGAGCACGTTCTTTCTGCGTCCTGGGTGCCGCAGGGTCTCCCTGGGCTACTGCAGTCCGCCTACTTCTCCGGCAGGTCAGCATCCAGTGAACTCGGGGTTCACTGTCTCCGTTTCTTACGTTTGAAGTTTAGTAAAATGGGTTTACGTAACTTGAAGGATAGCTTTATAGATCTGAGCTCTTGTTTCTGCTATCACTTGTGTTTTTCCCAATTATACGTGCCAGATTTAAATATTATATTTATGTGTAATGCAGGATAGGTATTTTTGGATGCATTTTCTTTGAACAAGTGGTAAAGATGAAAATGGCTAGTCTTATGCACTGGAGGCTCTGACACCAATACCTATAACAGCAACAAGAAAAACCGGTCCTTAGATTCAAGGCAGGAGAGCCCGACTGATCGTGCCACCTGTGCCCACCCCGTCCTGCTCCCGGGCCCACAAGGCCAGTGAGGGCCCTGATCCCAGGCCTCTCCTTCCCCTTGTCCCCACAGCCCTCTGCAAGTCCTAGGAATCCCCCCAGCCAGGGCACAGTGTTGAGTTTTCTTGTACTGGTTCTGTATTGACTGAGAATAAAGCCGGTCAGGAGGGGGACATTCCAAAAGCCTGAACATTTTGCTAATACATAGCAAATTCGTATCAACTGCAGAGAACATCTGAGTGGTGTTTCTCTAACGGTAAACACCACTGCACCAGTCACAGCACACACAAAATCATGTCAGTCTCACATTTGGTAAGAAACAAGGCAGTCTCCGGAAAGAGTGTATTCTTTGGACGTACAGAGTAGAGCATCTGAGATGTCAGGACGGCCCACAGCCTGGTGCCTTTCTCCGCCCCCCAGGGGTGTCTGGAGTTAAGATGGCACAAAAGAAAGTGAGAAAGATGGAGGAAGAGGGTTTGTGGCTCTTCCCTAAATACCCACAATTCGGGTTTTCATTGTACACCCAAACTTTCTGTCTTTGGTTGGTAGCTGGCGCTGGGCGTGCCTTCCAGCGAGAAGATGGCTGTGCTCAGGCAGCTGGCACTCCTCCTCTGGAAGAACTACACCCTGCAGGTGGGTCCAGATCCCCAGAGGGAGGCAGGGGCTCCTGGGACACCTTAGAGGTGGGGGCCGTGTGCGTGCTCCACGCTCCTGCTTCATGACTCCCTCCACGTGGGGTTGCTGTTATTCTTCTAGAAGCGGAAGGTTCTAGTGACAGTCCTGGAGCTCTTCCTGCCATTACTGTTTTCTGGAATCCTCATTTGGCTCCGCTTGAAGATTCAGTCAGAAAACGTGCCCAACGCCACCATATACCCCGACCAGTCCATCCAGGAGCTGCCCCTGTTCTTCACCTTCCCCCCACCCGGGGACACCTGGGAGCTCGCCTTCATCCCCTCCCACAGCGACGCCGCCAGGACCATCACCCAGACAGTGAGGAGGGAGCTAGTGATCAACATGAGAGGTGAGACCCAGCGGGGCTCTGGACCGCCGCCATCTCCATGATGGCGTCTCCGCAGGCCTTGTGCTGGGGAGGTTGAACCCACGTCGCGGCAGAGACACGGCCTGTGTCCAGACCCAGCCTCACCTTGCCTTGGCTGTGTCACCGGTGAATCCCTGGACTTCTCTGTGTCCACGTCTCTTATAAAATGGAAACTGGGCCTGGCCACCCATGCTCCAGAGCTGTGAGAACCCAACAAAGTAACTAACATGGGTGACCTTAGCAGTCCCGGGTTCTAGAACCATGTCTGATGATGACAGTGGGCGTAGGAATTCACAGGGAAAACTGGGTGGACCTGGGCCAAGGGAAGCTCTTTGGTTATAAGGGCAATGCACGGTTTGAGTGTGTGGCACAGAGAACCCTTTCTGGGATGTGGTTTGGGAAGGGCAGCTTAAAAAAGGCCATGAGAAAGCCTGCTAAGGGAAACTCCCGGTAAATGTGTACTGGTCATCTTTTCTAGTTGCTTTCAGGAATCCGTACCCCCATAACATGCTGAAATAAAAAAAAATAAAAAAAAAACTTAGACAAAATTGGAACTGGAGGTAGAGGTAGGCAAAAAAAAAGGGAGGAGAAAATATCAAAATAGAATATAAAGACAAAATATTAATAAAAACAATAACTGAATTGTCAATCATATTAGAGATTGTTAAATTAGAACTGACATGCATAAACTTAAGTTCATGATGAAGAAAGCTAGATGTCTCAGGTTGTAAGAGATAGGCAAAAGTTTGAAAAAATCAGAGATTTAGCAATAAAAGGAAATGAGCAACAAGACTAAAAAAAAAAAATACTGTCCCCTTTTTTTCCTCTTCATTTTGGTATATACCTCCTGTGTCTTGTTTAATTCAATGTAGCAAACATTTAGAGGATGTTCTTTCGTCCCTTACTGAGTGATCACAGTAAAAGTCTCTATGTAAAATGTGGTCTGGGTAATAGAGAAATCATTTGAGAAATTATAAGTTAGTGTCCACTCTGATTCTTAAAATACACCATTATGGTTACGAGAGAGAGAAGCTGCCCTGGCTACGGAACCCAGGCCAAGGTGGGTTGTGAGTTTGTGCAGCTCAGCCTAGGTGCCTGCCCGCCCTGAGCTTCCGGCTCTGGTCAGAAATTGTGGTGAGAGCACCCGCGGTTCTGCGCATCTTTGTGGCAGCCTGTCTCTCTGCCACAGACGAAAGCCACCTTGAGTCTCAGGGAAGGTTTACAGAGCCCTAGAGAACCTGGTGAGTCTGCCATCTGAGTTTTCAAGTAGAAGGGACAGTGGGTGACTCTCAGGCCCCGTGCTCTCTCCACAGTTCGTGGCTTTCCCTCCGAGAAGGACTTTGAGGACTACATTAGGTATGACAACCACTCTTCCAACGTGCTGGCCGCCGTGGTGTTCGAGCACACCTTCAACCACAGCAAGGACCCCCTGCCGCTGGCGGTGAGACTCGCGCTGGGCCCCGGTTGCTGTGCTGAGTGGTCATAGCCCATCAGCAGGCCTTGGCTCCCCTCATGACTAATTCAGCCCGTAAAAGCAACCACTTTTCCTTAAAGCTCTGCCTGCCTGGGAGTAAATATCAGGCTCTCCTTTGGGTCCGTTATCACCATCCTGATGCCCACTGAAGGAGGCCCGGTGATGTTTGGAAACACACCTGCCTGTGCACGGTGGCTCCAGGTGGCTCCAGGCCATTTTGCTTACCGCATTTTATACACGGCGTTGCTGGTTTCCAGGCCTCTGTGGATGTCCCATAGCATAGATAGGAAAGTAGCAGAGATGTGGAAATTAAATATTGTCCGACAGGAAAAAAAAAGGGAGAAAAGAAGGAGTGTTTTGATGGCCTGACGACATTAAGCCTGGGAAGCCGTCAAGCCCGTCCCGCACTGTGTTGGCAGATCCCGGATAGCCGGCGCCTCACATGTGGGCTCCTGCTGGCAGTTGGCAAGAGAGGAGTAGCCAGGAACCCCCCAAAGCTGCCTCCGGGGAGCTCCCGGCTCCCACTGGGGCAGGACCCTCACTCAGACATCGCAAGGACCCTTGGACACTTCGGGGGCGGGGGCGGTGAGTTCTCCATGGCGATGGGAGTCCGCTGAGCGCTCATTCGACTGCGCCACATGCCGCTCCGTCTGGATGCCTCGGGACGGCTGGTTTTCTCTGTGTTTCCGCAGGTGAAATATCACCTACGGTTCAGTTACACACGGAGAAACTATGTGTGGACCCAGACGGGCTCCTTTTTCCTGAAGGAGACAGAAGGCTGGCACACCACGTCCCTTTTTCCACTTTTCCCAAACCCGGGACCGAGGGAACCTACATCCCCTGACGGTGGAGAACCTGGTGAGAAGCACTTTGGGGGCCGTGTTGCCAGCCTGGGCTGCCAACTGGCGACACGGGGGCACCCACCTGGCCTTTATGCAGAAATAACTTTTTAGGAACATGTAATCTTCTTGTTTGTAGGAAATGGGAGAAAACAGTTGGTAAAACTAACTTCTGAGAGGCTATATTAATCCTTGAAAAATAGTAGTGGCCTCTCCCTGTGTCCCAGAAGACACGTGCTCTTGAATGAAGCACTCATATTTCAGTGTTTAAGAGGCTTCTGTTTGAATCTTCTGGGCTTGGTTCACATTTTTCTCCCATCTCTGACCTTCTCTGTGCACAGTTTTATAAGTTTTTAGGCTCTGTTGTGCTTATATAGTCCATCCGTGGTTTGAATGAACCAGTGTAACTTTTCTGGGGTCGGATCTTGGTTACTCTGCTGCCCCGGCAGTGGGTGGGACTTTGGCAGGCAGTTGGTGTGTGTGCGTCCTCTGAAGTGTGGGCACATCTGGGAACCAAGCTAGGGCTAGCCCAGAAGTGACTGGGACCCAGGACTAGACTTATTCCTCAGGCTGAGACCCAGCTGCAGGTTCTAGGCGGAAGTCCAGGGTGTCCTAGAGAGCACAGCGTTCCACAGGTCTGGCAGGAGACAGGGCTCATCAGAGGGTTCGATGGAAGTCACAGGATCATCCCTCCTGGAAGGACAGCTCTGAGACCATGAGGGCCAGGCAGGCAGGAGGGCACATGTGGGCAGCTGGCACTTAGAGATGTTTGTCTGTGACTGCCAGGCTGCTCTGGAAGAGGAACTAAGATGAGCAAGGCCCAGGGTGTGGTGTGAGAGGCCCAGGGTGAGGCCCTGGACGGGTCACCTGACCCGGGGCTCAGGAGAGGCTGAACCTGGCCGTGGCACGGGCTGCCTGTGGCCGGGGCAGACCCAGGGCTGGGCTAGAGCCCTCAGCTCCCTGCTGTGTGTTGGGGACAATTTCCTAAGCTTGGAAGCGATAGGAAAAAACCTCAAAGGAAAAGACCAACAGATTTCAGCAGGTACAAACTCATAATTTGCCAAGAAATGAAAATGGCTGACACCGATTTTTAAAGCAAATAGGAGACTGGGGAGAACCTCTGTGGCAGATGACAAAGGGCAAATGTCTTCTGTTGTAAAAGGACACATGCAAGTGGGCTAGAAAAACAGGAAAGAGAGGCGGAAAGGGTGTGGGGCTGGCACAGAGCCGGCTGCGGTACATTCTAGTCCCCTTTTTGTCCCCAGCCACCCCCAGCTGTCCATGCCTTAGACCCACTAATCCCCTGTTGAGAATTTAGCCCCAGAATAGCCTGGAAGAGGAGAAGATCCACATGTGTAAAGTGTCCACTGTAGCTTTATTTATGATCATAAAAACTTCAGCACCTGGGAAACGTTTGATTACATACAATTGGGGGTCTCGCACCTCGGAATATCATCGAACAGCCACACGGTTATGAGGATAAAGGAACTACACAGCAGCGTGGAAAGTCTCCCGAGAGACAGCATGTGAGCAGTAGCGGGAGGGTCTCTGGGGGAGGCAGGGGGATGTTGTGTAAAGATGCCGACCCTGAAGCCAAAGCACCCAGGGTCCCCAGCTCAGCCCCTCAGTTGTGTAGCTCAGCGCCCCAGCCCTCAGTGTCCCCACTGGGCCAATGACGGGGTGTCGCCACCTGCTCCGTAGGCTTGTTGTGAAGCTGTCCTTGACACACAACATATAGCACTAATTGAGCACCTACTTCTCTTGTGACCATAGGAAGGCCTAACCAGAGGGAGAGGTAGAGGTATATGCACGGGAACCCTGCATGAGGGCGTGGTCAGCATGTTATGTTTCTCTTTTCTAGGGGCTGGAACACAGGCAGGGGACGGTTGTGTGTTAGAGGACATTGGATGTTCTCATTGTCAGTGTACCTCGTAGGGGAGGCGCCCACACCGCCCACAGCTGCAGCGGTGCTCCCTCTCTGTCCCTGGGGCTCAGCCTCAGGCCTTGGGCTGCCTGTTTCTCCCCAGAGCTAAGCGCACTCCTTCCCTGGGCTCAGTCTCTCCTAGGCCTCATGCTCCTGGGAGCTGTGTCTCCAGCTGTCACTCCCCCCAGGCCCTTTTCCCTCTGAGAATTTTATTACAGAACACTTTGGGGAGTCAAGAAGAGCAAACAGAGAAATTACAAAGCACACAAAGCTCTTATCGTGACAGGCTTTGGGCCATGCTGCCGGCCTGCCTTTGAGATAGTGGCTGGAGGACAGAGCTGGCCAAGGTTGATGGGATGACAGTCCCCACCCAGAATTGTCCACATCCTAATCCTCAGGACCTGGGAGTATGTCAGGGGCCGTGGCAGCAGGGAACTAGGGTTGCTAATCAGCTGACCTTAAGATAGCAAAGTGCTTACCCATTATCCCTGGCGGCATGGTGTCGTCACGAGAGTCCTTAAAAGTGGACAAGTGAAGCAGCAGACAGGGGCAGAGAAAGCTGAGATGAGAGGGAGGGTCTGAGGGGTGCTGGTTGCTGGCTTTGAGGGTGGAAGAAGGAGCCACGAGCCACAGGATGCTGACGGCCTCTACAAACCGAAAATGCCAGGAGGGAGCGCGGCCCTGCCGACACCTTGATTTTATGTCCGGGAGACCTGTGCGGCCAGGACTGTAGGACAGTGATTTCCGTTGTCTGAAGCCACTGAGTCTGTGGAGATTTGTTAGAGCAGCAACAGGAATCACACATGCTCACCAAACCCTTCTCTTCTGACTCCATCTCTGGTGAAGCACATCAGCCTCTTTCTGGTCTCAGTGGCCTCCTTTCTGAAGTTGTGTGGGACACGTGGGCCATTTTCTTCTTCCCCTCTGTGTGCTCCGACTGTGGGGCGACTCTCAGGTTAGGGCCCGCACGAGATGTGGGGAAACATGCTCTTACTCTCAGCCGTTCGTTGCTGTCCCTGCTTCCCTAACCTAACCCATTTGGCGTACTCTTTTCTAGCGCACTTTTGGCCTAACTTTTGTTTATTTGCCTAGAGTCCCATCAAACCCACTTGGGGCGTACAGGGTCTTTCCAGCCAAGTTCGCTTTTACAAGTGATTTGTGTGTGTGTTGTGTTAGTTCCAAAGTGAAAGTGACAATAACGTCACTCTTCTCCCTTGCTATGGGCATGTGGTGTCTTTTCTCCCTTCTCCCAGGGGACAGACCACAGAACTAAGTGGGATGCTTCGGTGGGGGCAGGGACACTGGGTGCAGTCGCTCCATTGCCCCCTGTGCCCCTCGCTCTGCAGACCTCGGGGACACCTGGCACAATCCAGTGCACGCGGCTCTCTGCTTTCAGCAAGCAGCGCCATGATGTGGCCGGGCTGCCCTCTGCTTCCACACGCAGGGTACATCCGAGAAGGCTTCTTGGCCGTGCAGCATGCCGTGGACAGAGCCATCATGCAGTACCACGCAGACGCTGCCACGCACCAGCTGTTCCAGAACCTCACAGTGATTGCGAAGAGGTTCCCGTACCCGCCGTTCATCTCAGACCCCTTCCTGGCCGCCATCCAGTACCAGCTCCCGCTGCTTCTCATGCTCAGCTTCACCTACGCCTCGCTCACCATCACGCGGGCCGTCGTGCAGGAGAAAGAGAGGAAACTGAAGGTAACCTGGTTGGTGTTGGCCTTATGACATTTTGTCAGGTTGTGTCCAGGCACTCACTTAGAGGCTGCCCAGTCGTCACTAGGGCTGGGGCTGCAAGAGCAGGGCCCGTGGGGTGGACACCCTCTGTGGCTCTAGCCCATCTCGGGGCTTCCTTGAAATCAGGCCGGTATAGCCAGGGTTTTAAACCCTGGTACAGCACCATAGTTTGTACACTAGGACCGAAGGTGGCTCTAGAGCTGCACTGTCCAATGTAGGAGCCTCGAGCACCCACAGTGTGCCTGGGCCCACCCGAGACGCACCGAAAGTGTGAAGCACACCTGCATATTGAAGGCTCGGTACGAAGGAATGCAAACCATCTCGTTTGTAACTTTTATATTGATTATATGTTAGAAAGACAATATTTGGGATATATTGAGTTAAGTAGAATTTATCACTGAAATTAATTTTACTTGCCTCTTTTAATGTTTTCGATGTGGCTGTTATAAAGCTGAAAGTTACCTATGGGGCTCAGATTCTATTTCACTCGGACAGCACAGCTCTAGAGAGTAGATCAATGGTGAGATAAAATGTTTAAATTGGCTGGGCACAGTGACTCATGCCTGAAATCCCAGCACTCTGGGAGGCCGAGGCAGGAGGATCGCTTGAAGTTAGGAGTTCGAGACCAGCCTGAGTAAGAGGGAGACCCCGTCTCTACAAAAAATAGAACAAATTAGCTGGGTGTGGTAGTGGGCACCTGTAAACCCAGCTACTCAGGAGGCTGAGGCAGGAGGATCACTTGAGCCCAGGAGTTTGAGGTTGCAGTGAGCTTATGATGACACCACTGCACACACTAGCTGGAGTGACAGAGCGAGAACCTGTCTCAAAAAAAAAGTTTAAATATGGCTGAACAGGAGGATAATTACATTGCATATAGACCAAATACAGCTGTAGTCACAGACTGTTAGGCATAACGTAATGAGAAATTACGTATATGAAGTGTCACTGTGAAGTCATATAACTGACTTAATTAAGTACAGCTGAATGAGTAGAGTCACCTATAAACTCATACCAGTGACACTATCATCCCCCAAAACTTCTCTGAAGTTCCTCCTCTGGAAATGTCCACAGTGCCAGTGAAATGGCATTGAGGACATTCTCGGTGATTGCTGGAGCTTTTAAATCACTTCAGACGAGAGGCTTCGAAAACCAATGAGGAGTGTGGTGATCTGCATGGGGGCCTTAAATACCTTTGCTAACACAGTGCAACGTTGAGGTAGTTAGCGGTGAGCCGTGAAATTGTCCGCAGAAAGTGTGTGTGTACGCATGCTCGTCTACAGACACACAGGTAAAAGAAGTAGGGCAAAACGTGAACTGATAATTGGATCTCAGTGGTGGCAATGTGAGCGATCGTCGCACTCACCTTTCCCCATTCTGGGCGTTGGAAATGGCGTGGGAGGAAGGGAACGGTACAAGACGCCAGGATTCCCTCCACCACGAGGCTGAGTGGTGTCAAGCCAGGGCCTCTGCCGTCCAGCCTAGTGTGTGCTGTGCCGCCCCAGCCTCTAGTCTACAGCACAGTGTCCATCGCGCCCCTCGGTCCGTAGACGTACAACACACACGCACACACACACACACAGATGTGCAGACACACAAATATGCACACACATGCAGACATGCACACAGATGTGCACACACATACACATGCACAGAGACGCGCACACACACCGATGTGCAGACACGCAGACACACAGACACACGCACACAAAGGCCCTGAGGAGGGGAAGGGGGAGCACACCACCTCAGGCCTGACAGCGCCTCCCCGCCAGGAGTACATGCGCATGATGGGGCTCAGCAACTGGCTGCACTGGAGCGCTTGGTTCCTCCTCTTCTTCCTCTTCCTCCTCGTCGCTGTCTCCTTCATGACCCTGCTCCTCTGCATCAAGGTGAGCGTGGCCTGACGAGAGGGGTGGGAGAGTCAGGCAGCCCTGGCACCGCCACGGACACCCAAAGCTCATGCTTGGGTTGTGCTTTGGAAAGAATGTCAGGGTCACCAACTGCGTGTGTGTGGGGGGAGAGGCTTCCCCAGTGGGAGGAAGAGCCCCCTCCGTCCTCAGCAGTGCCCCTCCCTCCCAGCCCGCCCGCCCCCGACTCCCGACCGCGTGTTGTGCAGGTGAAGAAGGACGTGGCGGTGCTGGCGAGCAGCGAACCCTCGCTGGTGCTGGCCTTCCTGGTGTGCTTTGCCGTCGCCTCCATCTCCTTCAGCTTCATGGTCAGCACCTTCTTCAGCAAAGGTGAGTCGTTGGCTGCCCTGGAGCCGGAGGGCCGTGGGGTGAGCTGCTCTGGGAAGGCCGGGCAGGTTGCTGGGATGTGTGGAATTAAGACGTCGATGGCCTCCTCGCTGGTCTCCCTGCATCCGCCCTCAGCCTCCTTTTGTTCTCAACGTAGCCAAGTGTGATCCTCTTAAAATGTAAGTCAGAACTTATCACACTTCTGCTCAGAACCCTCCTATGACAGACTATCTCACATGGAGGAAAAGGTGAAGCCCCTGCCGTGGCTGGCAAGACCCTACCCAGGCAGGGCCCCCTGCTAACTGTGTCTGTGGCTGCTCTCCCCATTTGCACCATCCCTGTCACATTCCTTCCTGGGGCTTTTGTCTCTGACTAAGTTAGAGGTTCTCAAGGCATAGTCTGCAGACTCCTGATGACCCTCAAGGATTTAGGGGGTTCACAAAATGAAAACGGTTTTATAATGACGCCTAGATGATGTTTGCCTTTTCCACCTTGTTGACATTGGTAGTGATGGTGTGAAAGCAACAGTGGGCAAAACTGCCAGGCCCTGAGCACGGACCTTGGCACCAAACCATACTGGCCATCATTGTTCTTCACCACCACACACTCACAGCAAACAAACAGACAGAAAATGCCAGATTCTCTCAAGAATGTCCTTGATGGAGCAGTAAAAATTATTAATTTTATCGTATGTTGATCTCAAATATACTTTTTTGTAGTCTTCTGTGTGATGAAATAAGATACACACAGAGTACTTGTGCTTCAGTAGATTATCTTGAGGAAAGGCAGGTGCAAAATTGAGTTGCCAGCTAAACTAGACACTTTTTCATGGAACACCATTTTTGCTTGAAGGAACAACCATTAGACTATAGTTTTTTACACTTGCATATTTGGTAGACATTTTCTCAAATATGAGCCTTTCTAAGGAAAACAACCAGTAGTTTCTGATGTCAATAATAAAATTCAAGCATTCAAGTAAAAAATAGAATTTTACAAACTTAAATCTACCACCATGAGCTTGACAGCTTCCCAGCACTTAAGAGCTTTTTATGGGATGGTAATAATAATAACAATTGTGATTTTTACGATATCATATAATAAACTGTATCAATGATTGGAATATTTGCATCATGTTACAAAAGCACGCAAGAATAAAATCCATTCAAGGTGCAAAATAAACCAATGTACTTTAATGTAATAGAGTATGAGAATAGAGTTCATTGGTTAGTCTGATGGCACATGACAGCTAACCTTTCAGAAACTACCACTTGTTGAGTGGTAGTTGAATGGTATAGTATGAAAGAAGAATATCCCCAAATATCTGTACTGGCTATTACACTACCCAAGTGTGCATCTGTATGAAGCTGGATTTTCTTCATATACTTCAACCACAACAACATAATATGGCAGAGTAAGTTCAGGGGCAGATATGAGAATCCAGCTGCAACCTATCAAGACATCACAGAAGTTCGCAGAAATGTGAAACACTGCTCCTGAGTCAAGGATGGAGGGCAGGGTGGGGGGGGGACTAAAATTAAATGGGAAAAAAATGAAAAAAATAACACTGCCACTCTTCTCACTAAATTGTGGAAAATGTGATTTTTCGTAAAATATTTATGTTAACTTGTAGCAGGCTTATTGTTATTCTTAAATTTTTTAAATCTTTAAATTTTTTTCACTATTAATTTCTCAGAGTAAATAGGGACCTACATAACACACATAAGGAAAAGCCCTTAAGGGCAGAAAACGGTCTTAAGACCAAAGTGTTTCTGCACCACCGGCGAGGGCTGCAACCACGGTGTCCCCCCATACCTCCATGACTCGGCTACTCGCCTCTTTTGGGTCTTCCTGACGTGTCACCTTTTCCTCCAAGTGCCTCCAGCCACTAGGCGTCTTCCTGCCCAGTGCTTGTCCCTGTCGAGGGAGTGCGCTCCACACCCCTTGCTCTGTGCTGTCTCCCCACTAGCTTCTGGGCTCCGGGAGGGGAGGGGCTTTCTCTTCTGTGCCCGGCAGTCTCCCTAGGGCCTGGAACTGTACGTGGCACAGAGTAGATGTTCAGTGAGTATTGAATGAATGAATGAATGAACAAATGAGAGAGACTGGACAGACCAGATGAGTCTCAGGGCTTCAGTATCAGTCATGTCAGGGAGGCAGCTGGATGGGCTAGAGATGTTAGGGGTCCCAAGTTGGGGACAACACGTGTGGCCCCTGGCAGGGGACCATCCCCAGGGAACCAGCATGCCAGAAAGAGAAGAGGCTATGGGCCTGGGGTCCTCCCAGTGCCCGTGTAGACGGCAGGTGCAGGGGTGGGGTGACTCGGCCCCCGGAGAGGGTCCCTGGTGCGGTGGGCCCTTGACCCTGCTAGCACACCCGCAGTGACATCCCCGCTCTCCTCTCCCCTCAGCCAACATGGCGGCGGCCGTGGGGGGCTTCCTCTACTTCCTCACGTACATCCCCTACTTTTTCGTTGCTCCTCGATACAACTGGATGACTCTAAACCAGAAGCTCTGCTCCTGTCTCCTGTCCAACGTTGCCATGGCAATGGGAGCCCAGCTCATAGGAAAATTTGAAGCAAAAGGTGAGCGTTCTCCCTCTCACTAGCAGCCCTGAGTCTAACCCAGAATTCCCTCATAGTTAGACGCTGATAAAGGACAGGCCCCACGCCAGCTGAGCGAGCGGGTCATCGGCAGACAGGCGCTGGGTGTGCACTGGGTGCCGGGCACAGCCTGGGGGCCAAAAGACATGACTGGACCAACGGGGGACAGAGGGTCGAACATCCATCGGCAACGGCTGCTGTACTTGCATTGGTCCAATGATGAGTTTAACTCAGTGACTTCCGAGTGTCTTCCAGCTTTGTGGGACATCCAGAATTATTACCCCAGAGCTCTGCAAGTCCGTGGGCTCTAAGGACTTTTGATGAACCCCGAGTGCCTGGTAAAGGACAGATTAGTGTCTCCCCCTCCCGCTCCCCTCATCTCCCCCACAAGGGTCACCAAGGAAGTAGGGAGACCCAAGAGAGAAACACGTGATCAACCAAGGAGTTTTTTCCTTGATTTCTGTGACTTCTTCAGATTTCTAAAACATCATGGGGGTCAAATAAAACACTTCTTTGGGGTGACTTTGGCCTCGTAGACACTGAGCGGCTGACCTGAGCACTCGTGTGAGGCCCAGCTCCCACCCCTGTCGTGTCGGAATTAAGTCCCCAACACATGATCTGGGGGCACTTTCACGCCACAGCACCGCCAGGCTTCTGGTTGTAGTTTTTAGAGTTACGGGTCCTTGGGAGGGGGTCATTGAGCAGCCACAGGTGGGCTCGGGTAGCTTTACCATGACTTAGAACTTCTTCCTTTAGTTGACGGTGTCTTCTAACACTTTGGCTTTTACATACCTGGGTTTCAGTGTTTAGTAGCGTGTTGAAAAAGTGTAGACTTTGTAAATGAGCGTTCCCTTCCAGGCTTCAAAGGCTTTTTAAAAAGCCACAAGCAAGGAGGAATCTGACTGTATGGCACCTCCTCCATTTTTTTCCCCCAAAGTTCTCTAGTCAATTTGCTTAAAAGAGACAAATCTCTAGTCATTGGAAGTGAAGATTCACCAAGACTGGAGAGTGGTTATTTCCATCAGGGGCCCGTGGGCCAACAGAGACCCCCAGGCACGGCAGGGACTATGCCGTTGGCAAACCAGAGAGAAGACATAAAGCCTTGAGCTTCAGTAGAGCTTTCTGGGTGTCTGAAATGTTTCCCTTTTAAGAAAAGGCTTACATTAAGTGCACACTGACCCTCATCAGTCTCACCCAAATCACATGTGTGTATGTGTATATACGTGTAAGTATGTTGAAAATTCAATGCAAGCCCAGCCAATCAGCGAGCTTTGCTGGTTCTATAATTTACTGAGTTTGGAACTTGCTGTTGTCTTAAAGACTTGAAGAAAGTGATCAGATTTATTACAAATCCAGGAGGGCAGAGTCACGCTCACCTAGCAGTGACCACGGGGAGTCCAGCCTGCATAGTGGGCCCTTGGGCTTTGGGCTCCTCCAGCCCTCCCAGCCTGGCCGGTCTCGGGCCACTTTGCTGGTGTGTCCCCAGGCACGGGCATCCAGTGGCGAGACCTCCTGAGTCCTGTCAGCGTGGATGATGACTTCTGCTTCGGGCAAGTGCTGGGGATGCTGCTGCTGGACTCCGTGCTCTACGGCGTGGCCACCTGGTACGTGGAGGCTGTCTTCCCAGGGCAGTTCGGCGTGCCCCAGCCCTGGTACTTCTGTGTCCTGGTGAGTTGTGACGCCCCTGCTCCTCAGGTCGGCCACCTCTGGACTGCCCAGTTTCCCCCCAGCACTCACTTCCTTTCTCATAAAAAAATCTTACTGGGTTTTCTGCCTACAAAATAAACATGGCTTCCTATAACAATGATTACAGCACTGGCACATGTGGCACAGTCCCACCACCACAGACGAACACCGTCGACACTCTGGCGTGTCCTTTGGGTTTTTCTATGCATTTACTATCATACAGCACACATAGGTGTGCATATAACATTTCTACATTTGTTTTATAAAAATGAGATTGTGTTGTAAAATACGCCTGAAATTTACATTTTTTGGAGGGTTTTTTGGTTTTTTGTTTGTTTTTTTGGAGACAAGTCTCACTCTGTCACCGGGCTAGAGTGCAGTGGCATTGTCATAGCTCACTGTAACCTCAAATTCCTGGGCTCAAGTGATCCTCCTGCCTCAGCCTCCTGAGTAGCTGAGACTACAAGTGCACACCACCCTGCCCGGCCAATTTTTCTATTTTCATAGAGACGGGGTCTCGCTCTTGCTCAGGCTGGTCTCAAACTCCTGAGCTCAAGCGATCCTCCCGCCTCGGCCTCCCAGAGTGCTAGGGTGATGGGCATGAGCCACCACACCCAGCCTGAAACTTGTATTTTTTAAAAACCTAACAGTACATCTTAGATATCTTAAGTACATATACGTGTATGTCTATTTGTAAGTGTATAGATTTTTATCTAAACCTATTGACAAATTTTGTTTTATTTATTTATAAATGTTTGTATCTAAATATTATCTTTTTAAGAATCAGCTTCACTTACAATGACTACACAGTATTCTGTCACATGGAGGCACCACTGTGTACTTGACTAATTTCCTATTGATGGTTAGTTAGGGACACTCCTTTGTTCTTTGATTCAACAAATATTTATCAAGTGTCCCCTACCGTATTTCACTAAATCCAAGATGACATTGATTATTAGAGGCAATAGTTACTTTGTCTATCACTAAGAAAGAAAATGCCACAGCTACACTGTGGCGTCTCATAATGTAAGATGCATTCTGATTCTAAACCCACTTTAGATGTAAGAAAAATGTCCTTGACACCAGTGAAATATGCTACGTGCCGGACGCTATTCCAGGCTCTGGAATACCCTGGGATAGAGCTGTGGGCAGAACAAGTGCCCACACGGGGCTTCCCCTGGCGCCGATTCTTCCAGGGCTGCTGTTCTCACCTTCCTGTCGCTCTGCCCACGCCACTGTTCCCTGCATGGTCTCGGTGCGCACCGGGCTGCACTGTGTTCTTACCACACACACCCCACAGAGAGGGCGGGAAGAGACTTCCTCATGGAGGGAGGAGGCCCCATCTTCTCTTGCCCCGTCATGAGCTCACATGTGGCTTGAGCAGGGAAACGGGTGACATAGAGACCAGCCTCCTTTCCATCTTGGCCCCAGTGGCACTCTGGCCCGCAGCGTTCAGTGACTTCTCTGGAAGGCAGCTATGCTCACCACAACACCACCGGCGCGGTAACCTCTCTCTGTTAAATTTACTAATTGACAAACTCCTTTTCCTCGGTGTCGTAGCTGAGTTGATGTTGACAACAAGCCTGAGAGTTACCATTATGCCCCTTCACCAAATTAGGAAAAAGAGGCTTAAACCTTCCCCAGGGGTAAAACAAGCTAGGAGCTGCGCCAGGGTTCACGCTGAGTGGCGTCTTCTCGGCAGCAGCATGCCTTGGAGCGTTAAGGTGAAGGGCACGTCACTGCGGGCATCTAGTGCCACGATTATTGCTTTGCTTATCACAAACAGAATGACTGACACCTGTCTGCCTTCCACCCCAGCCCTCGTATTGGTTTGGGACCCCAAGGACAGTCATAGGGAAAGAGGAAGAAGACAATGACCCTGAGAAAGCGCTGGGGACAGAGTACTTCGAAGCTGAGCCAGAGGACCTGGTGGCTGGGATCAAGATCAAGCATCTGTCCAAGGTGCCACCTCCCTGTGGGGACAGGGTGGGGCCGGGGCTGGCCTTGCCACCAGCAGGTGCTCCCTGGAGCCTCCTGAGCATCTGGTGAAGGAGGGAAGGGCACCCTTGGCCACCTTGTGGCCAGGGCCCTGTGTCTGTGTCCCCAGTGCCCGGAACGGAGCCAGGCTCGGGTGGAGATCAGCAGACGTGCCGTCCTGGCTTCGCCTCCCACAGCTTCTTGGGAAGTGTACGTGGCTGTAATAAGGCCATGCCTCCCTCACGGGCCTTGTGATGCTGCAGAGACACCAAGGGTGTCATGGGACGTGTCAGGGTGGGGGAGACTGGAGGGGAGCAGCAGGGAGCTGCCTCTGCCCAAACGTCACTCCTCTCTGTGTGCCCATTGGCGGCGCTGGGCTGGGTCTCCTGCGATGGCCAGGCAGGCGATCAGGAAGCCCGAGGACATCCAGGGCAGCCTCTGCCTTTCCTACAGGTGTTCAGAGTGGGAAACAAGGACAAGGTGGCTGTCCGGGACCTGAACCTGAACCTGTATGAGGGGCAGATCACCGTCCTACTGGGCCACAACGGCGCTGGAAAGACCACTACCCTGTCCATGCTCACAGGTGAGGGCAGGGCAGCTCCACGCCCACCTGCGGCTAGCAGCTCCCCAGCACCAGTTCAAGGACTGAGATGCCCTTCCCCCTGGCAGGGCCTTGGCCCCAGCGCCCCACATGGGCAGCCCTCGAGCAACCCCCGCTCTCCTCACTGCCTCTGTCCGTGAGTGCCCAAGCTTGGCAGGATCAGTAGAAACAAATGAGGCCGACTCTCTGACCACACGGGGTGGGTCCGGCGGTATCGAGTCTGTTGTCCCAATCCTGCACTCCTGGTGCATCACCCCGACTCTGGTGTTGTACTTTGTCTCCCCTAAGCACAGGGACATCTGGCAGTAGCACAGGCTGGGACCTGGGGCGGGGCTTTGGGAGTGAGAGTGACCCACATGTGTAAGCGTGTGCGTGCGGTTTCTTGTCCCTGAGGAGCTCGTGCCTCCTGACAGCAGGGCCATCCTGTCCTTCTCCTGTTTCCCACTGGCCCAGCTGCAGGCCAAGCACAGCCCACTGCAGTGGGGAGCAGCGATCCTGGCACTGTCTCCCTCGTGGGCAGGCTCCTTGGGTGAAATAGGAACGGTGGCACTGAGGGGAGGGGGTGGTTACACTTCGTGCTGATGAGCAAAATTTTCATCCTGAATTTGGGGGTCTCCTGCTCGGCCCCAGGTCTCTTCCCCCCCACCAGCGGACAGGCATACATCAGTGGGTATGAAATTTCCCAAGACATGGTCCAGATCCGGAAGAGCTTGGGTCTGTGCCCTCAGCACGACGTCCTGTTTGACAACCTCACAGTGGCAGAACATCTTTACTTCTACGCTCAGGTGCGTCGGGGTGATGGGGACATGCCAGTGGTGGCTATTCCGTCACTGACATGCTCGGGTTTCCAAGGCTGTCCAAGTCCCTGAATCCGTTCTGAGGAGCTGTTCCTGGGCGGGGGGCAGAAGCCAAGGCTCCGAGTCCGGCAGCACCAAGGGAAGCTTCTCTGGGGCCAGAGCTCGCCGCTTGGGGTCAGTCTCCCATCAGGAGCCCTGCCCCATCTCCCCCCCGTCCCCTGTTGTTCCAGCTGAAAGGCTTATCGCGCCACAAGTGCCCTGAGGAAGTGAAGCAGATGCTGCACATCCTCAGTCTGGAGGACAAGTGGGACTCGCGGAGCCGGTTCCTGAGCGGGGGCATGAAGCGCAAGCTCTCCATCGGCATCGCGCTCATAGCAGGCTCCAAGGTACCGGGCTCTGGCTCCCACTCGGCCTGGGCTGGCTGCTGGCCCTGTGACCGCGGTCCGGGCACCTCAGCCCTGGACGCTGTGGACAGCCAGTCTGACGTGGGCCTGGGATGTGTCTCTGCCATCGTCACGAGGCTGTGCCTCTGCCCTCCAGGTGTTGATGCTGGATGAGCCCACCTCAGGCATGGATGCCATCTCCAGGAGGGCCGTCTGGGACCTTCTTCAGCAGCAGAAAAGTGACCGCACCATCCTGCTGACCACCCATTTCATGGACGAGGCCGACCTGCTGGGGGACCGCATCGCCATCATGGCCAAGGGGGAGCTGCAGTGCTGTGGGTCGTCTCTGTTCCTCAAGCAGAAGTATGGTGAGTGGCAGGAAGTGGGCGGCAGTCCGGCCTCCATCCGGTGACGGGATCTGCGTCCCTGGCCCGCTGTGCTGAAGGGAACTGCCCACCGTCACCTTTACAAAGGGCCTGAGGTCAGGCAGGGAGAGAGCTCCTCTGGACTCCTGCTCTGTTGCCTCTGGGTGGAGACCCAGGCCCCAAGCAGAGGGGCCTTGTGAGGGTGGCGAGGACAGTGTGGAGCAGAAAGTCCCGGTTTGGTTAGGATTTGGTTCACCCATGACCAAAAGAGCAGAGGCCAAGCCCAGGGCTGCTAGGAACAGTGGCGCCTTTGCAGAGGCCAAGCGTGCTCGCTGACGCTGTGGCTCCCCAGTGAGAGCAGCTCTGCTCTGTGAGTGTGTCCCTTCTCAAGGCAGCCTGCTGGCCCCACCTGGTGCTGACATACCTGCCGACCCCCACATTCTGAGGGGGTGGAGCAAAGACACAGGAGTGCTGCTCCCCTTAGAATGCCCTGGAGTGCAAGCCCCACTCTCCTGGTTTCCTGGGGCCAGCATACACAGCTCCTGGGACTGGGTGGTGACCTGACATGGTCAGCAGCAGGCTGGGGAGGCCTGGAGGGGCAGCCTTCACCCTGAGTGGCCATGTGCCCAGAAAAGACACGGGCTTATTACCAGGAAAAGGGGGAGAACAGGTCTTGGGGTGACACGGCGTGGTCCCTGCCACAGCCTCTGAGCGTCTCACCTGCTGATTCCTGCCTGGCTGCCCAGGTGGCCAAGCCATGGCTCTTCCTGGGCCCAGCATCCTTGTCTTACAAGGGGACATGGAAATACCATTTCCCACAAAGCGACACTGGGAAGGAGGCGAGGCGTCATGCCCGAAAATGCTTTGCAGTGAAAGTGCTGTGCAGTGTGGCTGTGCCACTCGTACTCCAGCCCCACAGATGGTCTCCTTCCCTGTGATCATCACCTGATAACCGTCAGCATCGTCCCACAGTACAGAGACCCTTGAACACCAGGGTTATTATTGCGCTGACCTCCTTCCCCAGCAGCTGCACAGCGAGGGGAAGGCTCTGTCTACAAGCAGGTGCTGCCACCTGTGCTCAGCACCCCAAGGCCCCAGCATCTCTCCCTAGCTCAGGAGTGGGAGGCGAGACCTTCGGGACGGCACTAAGGAGCTCCGAGATTCATCCATTCTGCTTCCACCACCTGGCCTTCCAGCCCCTTTCCCATGAGCTGCCTGGCCTGAGCCCCAGAGACCCCAGCATGGGCAGGAGGGAAAGTTGGGGAACAGCCCAAGGGCCTCACGCTCAGCCCTGTGTTCCAGGTGCAGGCTACCACATGACGCTGGTGAAGGAGCCACACTGCAACCCCGAAGGCGTCTCCCAGCTGGTCTACCACCACGTGCCCAACGCCACACTGGAAAGCAGTGCCGGAGCCGAGCTGTCCTTTATTCTTCCCAAGGAGAGCACGCACAGGTATGCCTCCCACAGAGAGCACGCACAGGTATACTTCCTGGAGAGCACGCACAGGTACGCCTCCCACAGAGAGCACGCACAGGTATACCTCCTGGAGAGCACGCACAGGTACACCTCCCACAGGGAGCACGCACAGGTATACCTCCTGGAGAGCACGCACAGGTACACCTCCCACAGAGAGCACGCACAGGTATACCTCCTGGAGAGGACGCACAGGTACGTCTCCCACAGGGAGCACACACAGGTATACCTCCTGGAGAGCATGCACAGGTACAAATCCAAGAAGGTATCCCCAGCCAGGCGCGGTGGCTCACACCTGTAATCCTAGCACTCTGGGAGGCCGAGGTGGGTGGATTGTTTGAGCTCAGGAGTTCGAGACCAGCCTGAGCAAGAGTGAGACCCCATCTCTACCAAAAATAGAAAGAAATTAATTGGACAACTAAAAATATATAGAAAAAATTAGCCGGGCATGGTGGCACATGCCTGTAGTCCCAGCTACTCGGGAGGCTGAGGCAGGAGGATCACTTGAGCCCAGGAGTTTGAGGTTGCTGTGAGCTAGGCTGACGCCATGGCACTCTAGCCCGGGCAACAGTGAGACTCTGTCTCAAAAAAAAAAAAAAAAGTATATTTAATCTTGCTACCAGTCTGATTAAGTAATGTGGCTTTATAGCTGCACACTATTCCGTGATTCGGATCTGTGATACCATATTTTAACATTTCTCTATTATCGTGTATTCATGTTACCCCCCTTCAAATAAATATGCTAATAAACATCCTTCTAGGAAACTCTTTGTCCAGATCTCCAATGACCCCCTCAGGATAGATCCCCAAATATCCTTCCAAAAAGGAGGCGTGGCTTTGCTTCCCCATCAGCCAGATAGGGGAGTATCCACTCCCATGGTTGCAGCTTCGAGTAGAATTTTTTCATATTTGCTTGGGTGAAAGTGGCACATGGCCACCTGGTTGGATTTTGCACCTCTTCAATTCCTACACGTGGGCGGGGGAATGTTTTTAGTGCCTGTTTGGTGTTAAATGTTGCTGCTTTTGGCTTTTGAATATTTGTCTTTTGCTCGTTTATGGTTCAGTTTTATATGTTAATATCAATCATTTTTGTTGTGACTTTCTCTAGTTTGATTCTGTGGGATTGTTTTTCTATGCAGATGTTATATTTAATGCATCATATCCTCTCTCTTGTGATTTCTTCCATTACTTTTATTCTAAGAAAGTGTTTTCCTATCCTGCAATCAAATAAATACTTGCCAGTTTCTTCCTTTTTTTTTTTTTTTTTTTTTTTTATTTTAGAGACAGGGTCTTCCTTTGTCACCCAGACTGGAGTGCAGTGGCATCATCATAGCTCACTGCGGCCTCAAACTCCTGGGCTCAAGTGATCCTCCTGCCTCAGCCTCCCGAGTAGCTGGGACTATAGGCGCCACCATGCCTGGCTTATTTTTTTAAATTTTTTGTAGAGATGGGGTCTCGCTATCTTCTCCAGGCTGCTCTCGAACTGCTGGGCTCAAGTGATCCTTTCGCCTTGGCCTCCCAAAATGCTGGGATTACAGGCGTGAACCACTGTGCCCGGCCGACTTGCCAGTTTCTTTTTTTTTTTTGTAATTTCATGTAGGTGTTTGCTCTCAAAGAACATCTAACAGGCCAGAGTGCTCATAAGATGTTCTGTGAGAAAGAAACAGGGTAGGGCAGGGGGTACGTGGGAAATCTCAGTCCCTTCCTCTCAATTTTGCCATGAACCTAAAAACTTTTCTACAAAACCAAAGTCTTTAAAAAAGAAAAGAAAAGGAAAAAACAGGAAATGAAACCATGTAAACCTAGCTTTTATTATTTTTTTAAGTGGCATTTCGAAGAATTAACCTCCTGTGGCCCCTGCCCCATTCTACAGGGAGGTGATTATTTAGAAACAAATTATCTAGAAAGTCACTGAGAAACATCTTGTCACTCTGGGTCTTTTTTTCAGGTTTGAAAGTCTTTTTACGAAGCTGGAAAAGAAGCAGAAGGAGCTGGGCATCGCCAGCTTCGGGGCCTCCGTCACCACCATGGAGGAGGTCTTCCTTCGGTCAGTAGCCGTGCGTCTAAGTTGGCCTAGGCTTCGGGCTGCGGAAGACTTTTTTAAAGTGCAGTGATAAAGCAGTCACCTTGGTTCTGAGCTGACATGCCCGTGTGAGAGTGGAGGAGCAGCCTGGGGCAGGCAGGGCAGTGGAACTGGCAGAGCCCCCGTCAGATGTGACAGTTGCTAACGCTGGTGCACACAGGAAACCGCAGCCTGCACATGGGCGTGGAACCGCCACCCAGCACGAGGTGGCAGGGCAGCACGGAGGCTTGCCCAGCTTTTCTTAGGTTTACGTCATCCTCGGGGGGTATCTGTGTCTGTAACGAACATGAAATTTAGCATTCAGACCCTCAGAATTATGGGGGGAGCTTGAGGCAACCAGCGCACCTACCAGACACTTCCTGAATGCTTATTTGGCAGATACGGCACTAATAACTAGAAATAAAAATAAACGTAGGTAGATTTTTCTCCTTGAGGAGCTCATGGCCCAGAGGAGACAAAAGAATACGTGGCCATAAGTGCACGGCCGTGTGGTGCATGCTCTGGGGACCTGGCCCAGGGTGTCACGGAGACATTGGCAGGGAGGGGACTCAGACCCAGCACCCGGGAACAGACTCCCCGAAACGGGGTGGGCGAGGAGGTGTGGGAGGGAAGGATCTGGCACAGAGCAGCTGTCAGCGAGTCTTGGTTGAATAAAGGAAGTGGAACATGTAAAAACCACGGCCGGAGGGTGTCGGCTGGCCCTGGGCGTCAGATCAGCTCATTCCCACAGCTGCAGGGCCTCTTGTCTCTGCGTTTCTGGGGTCTCGGGCCTCTTTGGCCCCCTCAGAGTCGGCCCACGGCCCACCCGTAACTCAGCCCCAGAGCCCTCTCCTGACAGTGATCTCTCCACGCTCTCGGTCCCAAGAAGTAATCGGAGCCTCAGTCCAGGACCCTAGTGGGGTCAGCGAGGCACTGGTACCATAGCAGCTGGATGGGGCAGGATAGCTTGGATTCAAGGGAATATTGGCAAGATGGCAATGCCTGTCTCTCTGGCCCAAATCTGTGATGCGAGCTGTGAAAGATAAGTGGGTCTGGGGGAATCCAGGGAAGGACGAGGGGCTCTGGGTGAGGGGCCAGCTGAGCAGGGACCTGGGCCTCGGACCACAGCACGTGCGGGACTAGGGAGCAGGGGCAGCTCCTTCGCTTGGGCTTCTCCCCAGGGCAGTGGGGATGAACTTGCTCCCACACCTGCTCAGCAACCTCGGCTGTAATTCCTAATCAGCCGGGGAGCTGTGGGAGGGTTTTGTGTGCGTGTTCAAATGAAAGTTGTATTGAGATATAATCTGTATATTGTTAAAAAATCACCTTCTTCGTGTATATGATATTCACACAGTTTTGCAACCATCAACACAATCAATTTGAGAACATTTATCACCCCCAAAATAAACCCACACCCGATAGCAGCCATATCCCAGCCCCTGGCCACCACTACTCTACTTTCCGTCTCTGTTCTGTTCTGAATATTTCACGTCACGGGAATCAGACAGCATGTGGTCTTCTGTGGCCGACCCTTTCACTGAGCATACTGTTCTCAAGTTCACCCGTGTCGTGGCAGGTGCCAGAGCCTCCCCCACTTCTGCAGCTAATATTCCAGCACGTGACTAGATCACTTTTAGCTCATTCACTTACCAGCCAAGGAACGCGAGGGCTGTTTTCCACTTTCTGGCTGTCGTGAACACTGTTGCTGTGCACACTTTGTGTGCAGGTTCCGGACGCGTGTTTTTACTTCTCTTGAACTTGTATTTAGGAGTGGGCGTGCGGTAGCTGTGTGTAATCTTTAGTCACTCCATTTGTGACAAGCGTCCTTTCTTCTTCAGAGGCTGCTGTCAGAAACACTGGCATAGAAGGACTCTGGTGTATTAGCTCATTTGCTCTTTCATTCATCCCTTCGTTCATTCACCTGTCCCCTCAGTGACTATGGCAGGGACTTCATCTGTACCCAGCCACGCAAGGTCCAGGGGAGACAATCAGACAGGACCTCTGCCACTAAGAACCTTCCAGTCTCACGGGAGACTGACCAGAGAGTCGGCGTTCACAGTCAGAGCATGACAGGGACATGCCCCTGAAAGCGCCAACCCTGAGGGTCTCTGAAGCAGATCCGGTGGCTCATGGACTCCAGCTCAACCAGCACAGCCCAATACCAGGCACCTGCTGCGGGTCCTGCCAGCCCACCCCTGCCGTCCCTCCACGCCTATCCCTGGCCTGCCCATTCCAGGGTTGTCCCCCCCGGAGCACGGTCATCTGCCTCCCAGCCTCACACTGGTTACAAGCACCCCAACCTGCACCTTCCTGCCATTGGGCTGGCTGTGCCCTCCCCAGGGCCACCACTGTGCCCTGCCTGCCTTCTGTCCCTCCCAAAAGCCCTGGTCATGAATGCTGACTGTCTGGGCAGTCTCCCTGGGCAGGGGCTCCATCATCTTGTCCCTCTCCCCTGGGCCTTGCTTGGCTGGGACAGTTGCTGCTCCGGAGATAACTACGGCTGAGTGAGTGAATGAGTGAACGAATGAACAAGCAAAAGAACTGCTGGGGTTGCTTTGCTTCCGTGCCTCTGATAACAGCCCTCTCTCTGCCCCTCCGCACTGCTCGGGAGATAGCTTTGCCCCCCACCCCGGGAGCAAAGTGTGTAAGTGGTGCCTGTGTCCGCACAGGGTTGGGAAGCTGGTGGACACCAGCATGGACATGCAGGCCATCCAGCTCCCTGCTCTGCAGTACCAGCACGAGAGGCGGGCGAGCGACTGGGCAGTGGACAGCAACCTGTGCGGGGCCATGGACCCAACCGACGGCATCGGTGCCCTCATCGAGGAGGAGCACGCCGCCGTCAAGCTCAACACTGGGGTGAGTGCTCCGGTGCGGAGCGGGAAAGTCGGTGGCCCCTGAGCCCCTCATGTTAGCTGATGCAGAAGAGAGCCCGTGAGGGCAGACACGGGCCTCGGGAGGGTCAGCGCACTGCGCATCGGGCAGGTTACAGCTCGTGGGTTGGCAGGGAGAAGGGAAACGGAGCGTTTTAATGGAGCAATAGAAATTTCTGAATGTTCTAACTCGGGCACAGTACTTTATCGAGAGCTTGCCTTTTACCCAGCTCAGTGCTAACAAGGCTTAATATACTAGTCCCATTTTATAGACAGGAAGCTGAGGCCTGGGCCAGAGTGGAATGGCTAGCATGTGACAGAGTGAGGGTCTGGTCCCTGGTCTGCCTGACCCCGAAACCTGGGTGCTCCCTACACTTAGCAGGCCATGAGGGACGATGCTGGGAAATTGGGCAGTCAGTCTGGGGAGCAGTGGGGAGGTTTGTCCGTCTGCTCACATGTGAGCTGGGCCAGGGCCCTCCTGCAATGTGCGTCTCCATAGGGCAGGGGCAGGCAGGGGAATCTCGACTGGTCCCGAATGTCCTGTGACAGTCAGTGTCTGCCCCGCCTCCATGGCTGTGGTGAGCCCCCGTGGTTGGTGTGCAGACCCGTGTTGGGACCTGCAGGGATGTGGACAGCCATGCCCTCCGTGTCGTTTACTGAGCTCCTCCCATGGCCCCTGCAAGAAGCCTCAGGGGGCTCTTAGCGTGGTCCCGAGTGGTGCCAGCGTCACCTGAGTCCCCTCTGCCGCAGCTTGCCCTGCACTGCCAGCAGTTCTGGGCCATGTTCCTGAAGAAGGCTGCATACAGCTGGCGGGAGTGGAAGATGGTGGCGGCCCAGGTCCTGGTCCCACTGACCTGTGTCACCCTGGCCCTCCTGGCCATCAACTACTCCTCTGAGATCTTCGACGACCCCATCCTGAAGCTGACCTTGGGCGCATATGGCAGAACCGTCGTGCCCTTCTCAGTTTCCGGGACCTCCCGGCTGGATCAGCAGCTGTCGGAGCACTTGAAGGACATGCTGCAGGCAGAGGGGCAGGAGCCACGCGAGGTGCTGGGTAAGGGCGTCCTGGGTCGGGGCCTAATGGGCAGTCAGAGCTGCTTCGTGCCCGCGGCACCGTTGGCTTCTGGGGTGGGTGGTTCCTGGCTGGGCTCACCAGCGCCGCTGGCGATGCCCATCCTGACAATCACACGTGCCTCCTGACGGTGCCAGATGCCCCCTGCATGGCAGATCATGACACTGAGTCAGAGGACGTGCCCCAGGGAGGCTGCAGACTCAGGCACATCACTAGGGCTACACTGTGTCCTGAAGCTGATCTTTCAGGACCATTCGTAAGCGAAATGCAAGAGTTCAGTGGCCTTTTCTTTGTTTACTAGGCCAGTCACACTGTGCCTCCGTGTGACATGGTATTTTCCTCCAGCATCTTAAGATACGACTACCTGGAGTCTCTGGCAGTCATAGCTGGATATTGCCCCAGGTTTAGAACAGGGATTGTGCTCTGGATAGATGGAACATGCTGGAAGGTTTTTGCACCTTCCTGCTCCCTCCCACTTCCTGACCAGCAGGTTTGAGGCTCGACATTCTGGACAAACTCTCAACAGAAACTGGGTTCTTCTTGGGAAGGTGTCGGCCGCACGGGCAGCTCGGGGCATGTGGCACAGTGCTGGGTGCCGCTGGACGGGCAGGCTTCCTGCGCAGCCCAGAGTCCCTGCTGGGCTGTGCTGAGATAGCGGCGGCACCTCCGTCTGTCATCTCCTGTGTCCCTTGACTCTGCCATTGCTCCCCAGGTGACCTGGAGGAGTTCCTGATTTTCAGGGCCTCGGTAGAAGGGGGAGGCTTTAACGAGCGGTGCCTTGTGGCGGTATCCTTCAGAGATGTGGGAGAACGGACGACCGTCACCGCCCTGTTCAACAACCAGGCGTACCACTCCCCAGCCACCACCCTGGCTGTCGTGGACAACCTTCTCTTCAAACTGCTATGCGGCCCTCAGGCCTCCATCGTGGTCTCCAACTACCCCCAGCCCCGGAGCGCCCTGCAGGCTGCCAAGGACCAGTTCAAGGAGTATGTCGTGTACTGCCCGCCCTGCCCGCCGGGGCCCCTCCCCAGGACCGGCCGCCGTGGGCATTGCCAAGGGCCACGGATAGACAGAGCATCATTCCTGCCTGCTTCTCAGCCATCCCTACTTGCCCTTCCCTGTGACAGCTATGGAGGCCTGTCTCACGCCGCATGGTCCTCACAGGGATGTCTGAGGGCTCGGAGGGCAGCTTTGCCTTCTCCTCCCAAAGCCACACCCACCCCTGCTGGTCACCGTGCTCACCTAGTCTGCCCTCTCCGGTGGGGCAGCCGGTGTGGCCGTGCCCCCCACAGCACTCGCTGTGTACGTGAGCCGGAGGAGGGAGGAGGAGGACAGCAGGACTCAGCAAGAATCAGTGTCCCTGTTCCTCAGTGGCCACACAGTGGGAGCCTTGTCATGCCATCATGTGGGCAGGGCTGTCCCTCACCCCCTTTATAGTCCACAGTGGAACACCTGCTGGTGTATTCACAGTTGTGGAATTATCGCCACAACGTAATTGTACAGAACGCTTTCGTCACCCCCAAAAGACACCCACGCCTGATCACAGCCACTCCCCATTCTCCCAACTCCTCACCCCCAGCAGCTGCTGATCTGCTTTGTCTCTAAGGATCTGCCCGTCCGGGACATTTTACGTCAGTGACACGTGCCCTTTGCGTCAGGTCTCTCTTCAAGGTCCACCCATGTTGTAGCGTTTTTGCTTCCTTCTTTTTTTTTAATGCCAGATAATATTCCATTGTCCCAGCACCATTTGTTGAAACCGTCAGGAGGTTTTAAAGCAAAAAAATAATGCCACCAGAGCCTATTTGTGGAAGGTGTTGCTGGCAACCAAATGTAGAGTTGATTGCACTTGGAGGGAGAGTTTAGCTACTATAGTGATCCAAGCATCCGACAGCGGGGCCCAATCTGGGGCGATGTGAAGAGAACAAGGCAGAGTGTTCCCCACGGGAAATGGGAAAGGCACAGGTACTGTCCCTGAGTACGTGTGGGGACAGTGGCTCGGGGCAGAGCGACACTGCCACCAGTTCGGAGAGGAAGTCCCAAGGAGAAGCCATTTGGGGGGGCGTCTTCCTGGTGCTGAGGCCCCCCCCTGGCTCTAGCCTTGCCCCACAACCCCCTTTAGAGGTGTGGCTGCCGCGCCCCACGCTCCAGACAGCAGTCACGGAGGACCCGCTCTTTACCCCTGCCGGGCGGCTGTGCTCTGCCCTGACCTGCCCTGTCCCCGCAGGGGCCGGAAGGGCTTTGACATCGCTCTCAATTTGCTCTTCGCCATGGCCTTCTTGGCCAGCACCTTTTCCATCCTGGCGGTCAGCGAGAGGACCGTGCAGGCTAAGCACGTCCAGTTTGTGAGCGGAGTCCGCATGGCTACTTTTTGGCTCTCCGCTCTGCTGTGGGACCTCATCTCCTTCCTCATCCCCAGTCTGCTGCTGCTGGTGAGTGCTGGATGGTGCTGGGTCCTCCCTGCAGACCACAGTGGGATTGCCTCAGGGGCTCTGCAGGGTCAGAGCCAGCCTGGGTGCCAAGAGGGTAGTTGGAGATGCCACCAGCCTCTGCCCCTCTTCAGTGTGCGGGGCCGAGCCGGTGCCTGGGGCAGCTACAGCAGCACAGGGAGAAGGCGAGCTGCTGGTCAGAGGGATCCCAGGGCTGAAAGCCACCTCGGGGGCCAGACACGGCCTGTGGGGCCATCGGCCTGGGCTGGCTCATCTGTCAGAAGTGCTCCTGTCTGTCCCTGCCCCACCCCGGGAGGTACCCGCCGCTCTGCCTACTTGCTGAGCCGCCTTGTCCGTGCTGCCACAGGTGGTGTTCAAAGCCTTTGACGTGCGCGCCTTCACGCGGGACGGCCACATGGCCGACACACTGCTGCTGCTCCTGCTGTACGGCTGGGCCATCATCCCCCTCATGTACCTGATGAATTTCTTCTTCTCGGGGGCAGCCACTGCCTACACAAGGCTGACCATATTCAACATCCTGTCGGGCATTGCTACCTTCCTCGTGGTCACCATCATGCGCATCCCAGGTCGGGGCACAGAGACCCCCACCCCAGTGGCCACCGTGGGGTCGCACTGGCCACACAGAAGTGTCACTGACCCCGGGCTGAGGTGGGGCTCAGGCACCAGGTACTAGGTCCCACTGCCCAAGGCAGCCCTGCTCAGCCAGCCATGGCGGGCAGGAGTCTGTGGTGTCCCTTCCTGGGCAGCTTCGGCCGAGCTGGCAGGGATGGCCCCTGGGAGGTGCCACCTCACTTGGCACAGGAGGGACAAGGCCTTGTCCATGGAGGTGCCTGATCTTTGGGGACATCTGGGGACCTACCCTTCCTGGACTAGATCTGCCCTGGGGGCAGGTGTGATGTGCCCTCCAGAGCTAACTGGTCTGTACCTCCTTACCACAGCGGTAAAATTAGAAGAACTTTCCAGAACCCTGGACCATGTGTTCCTGGTGCTGCCCAACCACTGTCTGGGGATGGCGGTCAGCAGCTTCTATGAGAACTATGAGACACGGAGGTACTGCACCTCCTCCGAGGTCGCTGCCCACTACTGCAAGAAGTACAGTGAGTGTCCTGCTTCCACGGACGGTCAGTTGGTTGTCACTGCAGCGGGGCTCCCGAGCTCAGGGGCCTCCCCATGTTCTGAGTGGCCTGGCGCTCACCCCTCATCCGCACCCACCTCACCACCCCCTGCCAGCCGCCTGGCTCCTGCACTAGTGTCCTGGGCCCCATCTCTGTGCTTCTGCTCGGTCCACCTGCATTGGTGTCCTGTGGCATCCAGGATGAAGGACCACAGGCTGGGGGCTTAAACGCAGAAGTGGATCCTCTCGTTATTCCGGAAGGCAGACATCCAAGACCAAGGTGTCCACAGGGCCTCACTCCCTCCGCAGGCTCTAGGGAGGGTCCTCCCTGCCTCCGTGGCTTCTGGTGGCTCTGGGTGTTCCTCTGCTCTGTCTTTGCATGGCCTTTTCCCGTGTCCCAAATCTCCATCTCCCATCCAAGTACTGACCAGCTCCGACCCTGCTTAGGTTCTGAGATCAGATGAGATCAGGTGTGTTCCGGATGGTAGGGCCGTAGACTCAATCTCCTGCTGCCTTTCTCTTACAAGGACACTGTTATTGGCTTTAGAGCCTGCCCTAAATCCCGTATCTCATGAGACCCTTACCTAATTATATCTCCAAAGACCTTAATTCTAAGCAAGGTCACACCCTCAGGTTCAGGGGGATAGGACTTGGACCTATCCTTTGGGGCCACCCTCAGCCCACCATGCACCCCTTCTGTGCCTGGAACAGTCTCCATCCCGCATCTGCAGGCAGCTTGGGGCCCCCTCGGCAGAGCCCTGTGTGCAGGTCTCGGACAGGCCCAGTCTCCCTGCCCGGCTCCTGCTGCGTCGTCACTTGTACGACAGGACTTGTGACTGCTTGTCATGTGCTCGTCCCTTCCTAAACTCCCCTAAGCCAGTTTTTATATCTCAGCACAGTCCCCAACGTGGGGAAGTGGGTGTGTGAGTGCAGGAGGGCACCACCTTGCCGGGCAAATCCCCAAGAGGCATGGGAAGTACTTGAGGCTCCCACATGGGGTGACAGACACAGGGCACACTTGGCGCAGGAGGAACATGGCGCCTCATGGAGGAGCTGGGCACAGGCACCTCGTGCTGCTGGGGACCAGGTGGGGAGGGTGTCCTAGGCCGTGGGCTCAGCGTGTCTCCTTGGCCTGCACAGACATCGAGTACCGGGAGAACTTCTACGCTTGGAAGGCCCCGGGCGTAGGCAGGTTCGTGGCCTCCATGGCTGCCTCAGGGTGTGCCTACCTCGCCTTGCTCTTCCTCATCGAGACCAACCTGCTGTGGAGACTCAGGACCTTCCTCTGTGCCTTCCGGAGGAGGCAGGTGCTGGTGAGTGGCTCCTGGGCAGCTCGGGGACGCTGGCCGGATGCTCCCCATGCCTCCACTTGGGCCCAGCACGAGGGACTGCAGTCACCTCCCTCTCTCCGGCCCCCACGGCGGTCAGGCTTCCTCATGGCCAGCACTGGTAGCCTCAGCGCGGCATGGCCAGGCCCAAATGCACTGTCCACCCGGGCAGGGGGCACGGCCCTCACCCCTTGCAAGGGCTCTTGAGTCCTGACCCCCGATGCCTCAGGGTCAGCCTGGGGCCTGGGGCCGTCCTCCTCGCTTTTTCAGATACACTTCCAGTCTCCATGCCCCCCGCAAACAAGTGAAACAAAACCTGTTGAGATTGCATGGGATAGACAGCTCAACCTGGTGAATTAGCTTCTTTAAGATATTCAGACTTCTCAGCCTGGTGCGGTGGCTTACCCCTGTAATCCCAGCACTCTGGGAGGCCGAGGCGGGAAAATTGCTTGAGATCAGGAGTTTGAGACCTGCCTGAGCAAAAGCAAAAAATAGGAACATTTCCTACAAAAAATAGGAAAATTAGCCAGGCGTGGTGGTGCGTGCCTGTAGTTCCAGCTACTTGGGAGGCTGAGGCAGGAGGATCGCTTGAGCCCAGGAGTTTGAGGTTGCTGTGAGCTAGGCTGACCCCAGGGCACTCTAGCCCGGGCAACAGAGTGAGACTCTGTCCCAAAGAAAAAAAAAATAATTATGACTTCTCCAAAAAAAGTTTCTCTCCACATGTGAAAATCTTCTCCTACGTACCCTGAGGGAGTTTTGCTTTTCTCCATGAGTCGGTGCAATTCTTGTTCCTTGGGTAGCGTATGTTTCCTGGTTACTAATATCAGTCTGTAAGGTCCCCCGGCCTTCTTGCGAAAGGTCTGAGTCCCGCAGGTGGGGCCTGATGGGGTGAAAAGTGGGAGACCTTAGTCCCACCAACCTACCTCACAACCTCTGCCCCCATCTCCCCCCTCGGAGGGACCCCTGGGGCTGGACTTCACTCGTGTGGTCTTTGACTTGAACAATCAGGCAGAACTGTGCACCCGGACATCGGTGCTTCCTGAGGACCAAGATGTGGCAGACGAGAGGAGCCGGGTCCTGGCCCCCAGCCTGGACTCCCTGCTCGACACGCCTCTGGTCATCAAGGAGCTCTCCAAGGTAAGGCTGGGACTTGGGGCCCTTCCCGCGGCCGTCCCTAGGGTCTGGCCCCGTCCCCGGAAGCTTGCAAGGGCTGAGGCCCAGGGTCACTCTGGTGGGTCTTCAAGCCTCCTCATTCTGGCATTTTCCGTCGGGCACCTGCAGGTGTATGAGCAGCAGGTGCCCCTCCTGGCCGTGGACAAGGTCTCCCTTGCGGTCCAGAAAGGGGAGTGCTTTGGCTTGCTGGGCTTCAATGGAGCTGGGAAAACCACGACTTTCAAAATGCTGACTGGGGAGGACAGCATCACTTCTGGGGACGCCTTCGTCGGGGGCCATAGCATCAGCTCTGACATCGGGAAGGTGGGCACGGCCAGGTGGCCCCATGGGGGGCGGGGACAGCATGGCAGGGGGAACCCTGGAGGAAGGGCTGGAGCCGCCCTCTGGCTCCCAGTGGGCACGGCACGTGCTTGTGGATGGCAGGACGAGGCAGGGACCGGGCCAGGCCAGGCAGGCGATGGGGAGGAGAGAGACGTGTGCCAAACCTGTGAGCCCTGAGAGGCATGTCTGTGTGCCAAACCTGTGAGCCCTGAGAGGCATGTCCTGCACTGACGGAGGCCGTTTGTGTCCAGGCAACTGAGGCGTGGGCTTGGAGGCCTTGCTGAATAAGGGGACAGCAGTGAAGGCCCAGGACCTGCCACAGTCTCCCCACATTGGGCTGAACCCCACAGGCTACCCCCCAGGGTAGGGGTAGACCAGAGGCAGCCATCCTGCCCCTGCCCCTGGAGCCTGTGCAGAAGGTCCCTGTGTGCCAAGCAGAGCAGGGAACACGGAAAGGCAAAGAGCCCGAGATGTGGCCTCGGGTCCTGTCCGGAGCTGGCAGCAGGGGTCTGGACTATGGCCCCGGGGCCAGAGCACACTAGGTCCTCTCCGGAGAATGGCTCATCGTGGGACTCGAAGAGTCCACCAAATAGTGTCTCAAGGTCTGCAAGCCCTGCACGAAAAACAGACAAAGGCGACGGGCACCGTGGCTGGAATCCAGACTCCAGGCCCCACAGGAAGGACAAACCCATAGGCCTCAGATCTGCAGGTGTCAGGCCCAGGTTATAAAATAACTGTTCACTGTGTTTAAGGAAATAAATTATGTGACTGGACATACATGCAGGAGAGAGGGCACTACATGTGACCTAGACATGGAGGGGATGCGGGACGTCCCGAATGCATATGGTCTGAGTCCCAGGAGGAAAGGAGAAGGAACAGGGAAGGTAGTAGCCAAAGATGTACTGGCTACGAGTTCTCCCCAAACCCACTAAAAACAGACTCTGGAAGCCTGAGCACCCCAAGGAGGGTGAAGAAACTCCGTCTCTGGAATCCACAGAACCCAGGCACACCTGTCCCCCACCAGCTGCGGAGGGTAGCTGAGCAGGTGGTGGCCGGCAGCCCTGAGAGGCCACATGGTGGCGGTGGCGTCCTGGTTCTGCTGGACGTGGCCACCTGCTCAGAGAGCAGCTGCTGTGCCGACTGACGAAGTGACATCCCACCACGAAGGAGCTGCCAGCAACATCTCTCGTTAGAGGGGAAGAAAGGCAGGCCTGGCACACGTTAGATGCTTGCTAAATATCTGGGACAAAGGAGCAGGTGACCAGCTAGGAGCTGTGAAGTCTTCTGTGTGAGCAGCAGAATCCTGTCGCTGTCACATCCCCAGCGAAGCCATTCTCACACCAGGCTGACCCCGTGACTGCCTGCAGTGGACCAGGCTCCAGGCTAGACCCTGCTGGCCTGTGACTTCAGGGTGGGAGCCAAGTGACGGCAGATCTTCGAGCAGGTCTGGGAGCCTGGGCCTGGCCAGCCAAGCCCTTCCTGTGTCCCTGCTAAGCACTGCTCCGTGAGGTCAGCTGGTGTGGGCAGCTGCCATAGCCTGGGCACAGCTCCATGGACCACTCTGGACAGACCCTGGAGGCCAGAGACAGACTGAGGTGGGCACCAGGGCAGGAGCCCCTGCGGGGCTTCCCTGTGACCTGCTTTCTCCCCGGCCGTTTCTAACCCCAGGTGCGGCAGCGTATTGGCTACTGCCCGCAGTTCGACGCTCTGCTGGACCACATGACCGGCCGCGAGATGCTGGTCATGTACGCCCGGCTCCGGGGCATCCCTGAGCGCCACATCGGGGCCTGTGTAGAGAACACTCTTCGGGGCCTGCTCCTGGAGCCACACGCCAACAAGCTGGTCAGGACATACAGGTGCGACCTGCACCCAGCCCGGGCCCTTCCCAGGGAGAGGTCGGGGTCTCCTGAGCATAGAGTGGAAGTGACTGCACAGGCCAGTGTCCAAAGCTCCTGCCCACGGGCCCAGGACTAAGCCGGGATTTGGGAGCATAACCCAGGCAGTGCCGGGTGAGAGGGGCTGCCCTGGCGGTTCCTACTGCCTAGACGCCAGGCCATTTGGTGAGTGATGCCAGGGACCTCTCAGGCCCCTCAGGTGCAGACAGATGGCGCTCCTGCTCTACGTGGGAGCGTGGCCCGAGCCCTGGACTCAGCTTTCTCTAGAGCCTCCAACTGTGCAGTGTGCTTTCCAGGCACGCGCCCCTCCTATTCACCAGGCATGCCCTGCTGTCACTGCGCACAGGGCTCTGCTGGGACCCCAAGCCTATGCTAACCTGACACCCCTCTGCCACAGTGGCGGTAACAAGCGGAAGCTGAGCACTGGCATCGCCCTGATCGGAGAGCCTGCGGTCATTTTCCTGGATGAGCCGTCCACTGGCATGGACCCCGTGGCCCGGCGCCTGCTCTGGGACACCGTGGCCCGGGCCCGCGAGTCCGGCAAGGCCATCGTCATCACTTCCCACAGGTAGAGCCTGGGTCTCTGTGGGTCAGCAGCAGAATCAGAATCAGGTCCGTGGGAGGGCTGGGCTGGCAGGGGCCGAGTCACAGAGGACCTGTCAGCAGCTGGCACAGAGTCTGTGAGGAGATCCCCGAGCCCTACACGTGGGCCACACTCCCAGCAGGGGCGCCAGAACAGGTCGATCTGGGTGTGGACACCTTCCTGTCTGCACAAGCCTGTGACACCCAGGGCAGGCGTCAGCGTCCCCCAGCCCTGTCTCAGGCCTCTGCCCCCTCTCCCCAGCATGGAAGAGTGTGAAGCCTTGTGCACCCCACCTTCCTGTCTGCACAAGCCTGTGACACCCAGGGCAGGCGTCAGCGTCCCCCAGCCCTGTCTCAGGCCTCTGCCCCCTCTCCCCAGCATGGAGGAGTGTGAAGCCTTGTGCACCCGGCTGGCCATCATGGTGCAGGGCCAGTTCAAGTGCCTGGGCAGCCCCCAGCACCTCAAGAGCAAGTTCGGCAGTGGCTACTCCCTGCGGGCCAAGGTGCGGAGCGAAGGGCAGCAGGAGGCGCTGCAGGAGTTCAAGGCGTTCGTGGATCTGACCTTCTCAGGTGTGTGGCAGCCCTGGCAGCCCCCGCCGGGTGGGCCCTGGGCCCCTGCCTAGCTCTCTCCCAGCCACTGTGCAGAGGGTGTCTGTGCCTCACCCCTGCCAAGTCCCATCTCCCTGACCCCTGGGACAAGGGCCCCCTCCAGCCCAGCCCTCACAGGAACACGGTCTCTGTGTCATGCAGGCAGTGTCCTGGAAGATGAACATCAGGGGATGGTCCATTACCACCTGCCGGGACGTGACCTCAGCTGGGCAAAGGTGAGCGCAGGCCCTGCGGCCCCACTGCTGGGGCTAGGCAAGGTCCCTCCAGGGGCTGCCAGGCTCTCTCCCTGCCCGTTTCTCCTCCAATACCCACCCTAACATCTGCCAAGTTTGGGGTTTTATAGCCAAAATATTGAAGTTGGTAGGAATTCAGCGTAAAACAAGAAACCGGCCCAGAGGGGCATAGCTGGCTCCAGGTCATCCTCTCCCTGGAGTGCAGTGGACCTCACATGCCGACTTCTCGCTGGGGCTCTTGGGCAGGGCTGGGCACAGTGGGACCTGGGGGCCCTGCCAGCCGCTCGTTGCCCGAGGACTCCCAGGTCCAGCCGAGGAGCCTGTCCCTGGCCTGTCTTACCAGTGGCTTTTCTGCTTCCCAAAGGTGTTTGGCATTCTGGAGAAAGCCAAGGAGAAGTACGGAGTGGACGACTACTCCGTGAGCCAGATCTCGCTTGAGCAGGTCTTCCTGGGCTTTGCCCACCTGCAGCCGCCCGCCACAGAGAGCCGATGAGGGGCCCGCTGCCACCTCGCGGGCGCCGTGCAGGGACAGGATGAGCCACTGCATAGTGTGCCTCCTCTCCCTCTGGGTTTATCTTATTGTTTATTTTTAATCACTGTTTTCTACGATGGATATGAAAAAATCAAGGCAGTGTGCACAGAAGGGACCAAATATGTCGGGGCCCTCCCGCCAGGATCAGCATGCCGACACCCACTTCTGCAGGCAGACTCTGGATTCAAGTCCCCAGACTACGAGCTAGTCTGCCGGTCTGCGTGGGCAAGCCCTGGGGTCTTTGGGTGGACAGCTGTCCCAGGAAGGGACCGCAGCTAACCTGGGGGTGCGCATACAGAGAGGACACAGTGACATGTCCGTGTTTACACATGACACTAAACGCCCCTGGGGAGGAAATGAGAAGTCAGCCGGGATGAACTGTAGCACAGCCCCCGGCTGCCGAGGACAGAAAAGTTGCAAGTCACCATCCGTGAAGGGAAGATGTGGCTATGATTACGTGCTGGGGCCTTCGTGTCCTCTGTGCACCGTCCTTAGGGTGTGGGGGCCAGGCACCATCCCAGGAGCATATTCCGGAAGCCTCCGGTGCAGGAAGGGAAGGGGCCAGACAGGAAGCACAGTCCTCTGTTCCCAACACTGCGCCTTTGAGAAGTCACCAGCCCCAGGACAGTCAGGGACCACTATAGGGGCTGAGCAGCTATCTCTCGAGGCCACACTGAACACGTGGAGTCTATCCAGAAAATAAAGGCTGAGGGGACACAATCAGTCTGTGTCACACCTGAGTTGGGGTCGGGGGCTCTGTCATTCACTGGGGTCCAGGCATGAGGCTCTGGTACGGAGATTCCATCAAACAAAAGCAGGAATCGCTTTTGTCAGTAGGGAGACACCTCAGTGACCTGAGGCAAAGGAACAGGCTCAAAACACAAACGGAAAAGCAGGTCAGATAAAAACGCCCACCAGCCAGATCCCCAGTCTACAGCCAAGGGGAGCGCGTGGGCGGGAGGCTGTGGCTCTGGGATCACCGCGGCCTTGTGCCCCTCCATTCACGCAGTTACTTCTCGTGGTTTTCTGCAACCTCAAAATCGAATCCCTGTGCACTTTACATTCCCTTAGATTTCATAATTCCGGAAAAGACTTTTCATCACTTTGACTCATTTGGGACAATTTCGAGTTCTTACCAGTCCCTGAAAGTTGATGAAAGCTACAAAATTTCCAGGAGCTTTTAATTCCCTTTAAAATTCTTCAAACTATCATCATTTAGTTCCACGTTGGAAAAAGTAAACGCAGGAAGGGGCGGTGGTGGCCTAAACGCTGTCCAGGAGAAAAGAGCCAAGAGGGTGGCCTGTCCCAGTCCCTTGCCAGCTGGCTCCGCAGCCACGGCCTGTAGAGTTGGGAGGCCAGCGGCCAGGGCACGTGGACAACCGACAGCCCTACTGCAGGGTGTCCTTGGACTTGTTTCTAAGTCCACGTGTTAGAGATTTGGGAATCTGCCATTTTCCTCCTTTGATACCATAGAAAAGGGTGTGAGGAAGGCGTCCAGGACTGAAGGCACAGCCCACGGGAGGTACCCCCATGTGCACCCAGCCTGCGTGGCCAGGACATGCCGAGGAGCCTGGCCACCCCTCCTGGGCGCAGGACACTGCCAACAGGTCTTTACGTGAGAAGTTTAAATTTCACAACCAGAAATCCTTCTCAGGCAGATGACCCACAGCTATGGGGGGGATGACATGGGCACAGCTGAGGCCACTGCATGGGGGCCAGGCGCACGCAGAGCTGGGGCAGAGTGGGGTGTCTGTGGAGAAGCTCAAGGCACCCAGGGGCAGTCCTATAAGCGGGGACCCAGGAGCAGCAGGAGGGGTCCACCCGGTGCCCCCAAGGCCACTGCTCAGTGCTAGAGCCAGGTCCTCAAGGACAGAAGCCTGATGGTTTGGGCTGTGGCAGTTCCCAGGCCAGGGGAGGGGGAGAAGGGGCCATGGACTCCAGCAGCAGCAGTCCGGCCTGCTGCTTGCCACCCCATCCACACTGCACCTCCTCTAGAAAGCGTGGCCTCAGCTCCTGCCCTGCTCCCACCCCGCAGCTCAGTGAGACGTGGGAGGGAAAGTTTTGCCTTTGCTGCTCTGCATGGCCTGGCCTGGCGCTCCCCCGGGGCAGACGCCTGACGGGGCGGAGAGCCAGACCCACGGAAGAGCTTGTGTTTTTTGTCCCCCAAGTCCTGCCCAGTCCATTGGCACAGGTCAGCTGAAACGCTCGGACAGTGGTCACTGCACCAAGAACAAGGGTCGGGGGAGAACGTGCCATGGGGCAGGGCCAATGCTGAGCCCCTCCACTGCCCTCACAGGGGGCAGGCCGGCCACCAGGCAGCGCCAGCCACAGGTTGGGGAACCCACCCCCAGAAAACCCTGATCACAGAGGTTTAAAAAAGTTTATTTCTCAGCTGTGTTCTAAGTCTGGAGAAGGCAGTCCAGGGCTTTGCCACCGCCAGGGTCTTGGGGAGCCAGGCTCCACCTGCCTGCTCCCCACCCTGGTGAGGGCCTCTCTCCTCCAGGTCACCTTGTGGTCTAGAATCAGCAGGAAGCAGGGGGTGGGGAGACAGGGCACCCTTGGCTAACCCAGAACCTTCAGACAACTCCCAAACGTCACTGGCTTCCAAGTGCCTAGTTCTGCCCAGAACGTAGGCAGCTACGCCAGGCACAGAGAACCCAGGCAGGACATGACCACAGACCCACCACAGACACAGAGGGCAGGATCTGTGTCCCTCTGGAGGTGGCCCCCAACCACAGCAATGTCCACCTGAGCTGGTGATACCCCACTGTACCCAGGACACCCCTCTGGCAGAAGTTGCCATACCCCAGGGCCTCCCCCAGAGCGTCCTGGCCCTTTGGTTGCAGGGACTCCGAAAAGCAAAGCCAACAGGACCGTTTCCTGCTAGGCAAATTCCAGTCACAGATGTTTAGTCCAGGATTCCAGGGGTAGCCAAGGTCGCCTGAGTCCTAGGGATTCCCAGTCTGGTCTCCGAGAGCAGCCGAGAAGACTGAGGCAGGAGCCCAGCGAGGAGGAGTGAGCCAAGGCCAGAGACAGGTCCAACCGCAGCAACGAGCTGTCCGGGGATGACCACACACACCGGGCAGACACAGGAGCTGGCCTGGCCCCCTCAGTCCACCCGAGAACCCCAGTGCAGCCTGAGCTGTCATTTCCCTGAACACACGGAGGGGGCAAGATACCAAGGCTGCAGGGCAGTCAGACCTGGCAACTGCAGGGCCAGAGCCTATGGTGACAGAGAGGGGGTTCCGCTAGGCCAGCCCAGGGCTAGAACCCCAGCCAGGGCAGTGTTGCCTCTCCTCTATCCGAATAACATACCGCTCACCGCTGGGGGCCAGCACGATGCTCACGGCGTCAGCCACCTGGGCCCTCTGGGACCCCCCTCTCCCAGAGGGTCTATGTGAAGGCCAGTGCTGCGTGTGCTGAAGGCCACAGCCTGCCCTGCACACAGGTGTGAGGGGCTGTGCTGGGTAGGGCAGCCTGGGCCCTGCGTGAGCCCAGAGGGGCTAAATGCCCCCACTCCAGCATGGAAGAGATGGCCCAGCACTGAAGTCAGAGTCAGGCTGTGCACCCCTCTCCGCAGCAGGCACGCCCCTCCCTCCAACACGAGGCCCCATGCCTGACCCCTGGCAAGCCCTTGCAGCCCCGCTGCCTTCCCCAAAGGAGCCCCACACGAGGCCTCACCACCGTGCCCCCAGGATCCAGCAGCCATCCTGCACCCCCAGGAGGCAGGCAGGAGTCAGGCTGGTGCTGGGCTGGGCTCCCTTCTCACCTGATGGGCCCTCCTGGCTGGGCTTTGGGAAGGCAGGAGTGGGGTGAAGCAGTGGGGCCGGGCCCGGGGAGCGGGGGCCCTGCCTTCCTTCCTCAACACACGGGGCTGCCCAGGCCCCGCTCCTGGGGCCCAGCCCACGCCCCATAGACGCCAACATCGGATGCCTCCAGGTCTGAGAAGCTCCACATCGACTGGCTGCAGATGGCACCGGGACAGCCAGGCCTGGTCAGTACCGCATCCTAGCCAGAGGCCCAGCCAGCTCCTTGGCTGGTCTGCCCCAGCCTGCCCGAGACCCCTCGGTGGGCAGCTCAGGTGTCTTGACCGTTGGCTTCCTCATGGCAGAGATGCACACATGGCTTTCCGCGTGAGAATGAGCACAGGCTCCCAAGTCTACTGCTCAGGAGGGGACCTATGGGAGGAGCCTCAGGCCCTGATGGTCCCCTACCCCCGAGGATGCACACCTGGAGCAGGGAGGCCTCTCACAACTGCAGACTCTCCCAGCTGGCCAAATTCACCCCAAACCCACTGCCTGGCTGGCCCTTTTGGACCCCACCTGGCCACCCAGAAGGACCCAGCTCCACCCCTCCTCAGACAGGTGCCAGGCCTTGGTGACCGCCCTCTTGGCAGCTCCTCCTCCACTGCCTCCCCCAAGGTCACCAGTCATAACCTTCTCTTCCACCTGGGTAGGCCACACCTGCCCACAGCCTAGAGCCCAGTTTTAGCAGAGGGTAGAAGTGTTTCCTTGACACGGTTTACGAGGGGACGCATTGCCTGTCCAAAGCTCCTGGAGGCCCACTGTGACCTCCACCACAGCCCAGTCTGTCACCGACCCTCGCAGTGTCCTGGGCCACCAGCTCCGAGGATGGGCACTACAGAAGCCATTAGGCGCATAGAGGATGAAGGCAGGGAGAACATTCTGCCTTAAGACACTCTCAAAGTCAGACCAGACTCAAATCGCCCACAGGTGACCCTCAGCCCTGGGAAGGCAAGGGAAGCCAGCTCAGGACACTGGCCAGAGCCCACAGGTTGCCTGTGGCACAGCACTCCAGGGCTCTAGCCAGCTGCCAAATGCTCCAACCAGAGCGCTGAAAACCCCCTGAGGTCCCAAAGGCCCCAGCTCCACAGCTCTCAGCCTCCCAGGCCCTAGCAGGTTTAGGGCGGTGGGTGGGGAAGCGCCAGAACTCCTGGAAGGATGGTGGTGGAGCTAGTAGACTCCAGAATTTTATTTTAATTCTTTTTAGAGACAGGGTCTCACTCTGTCCACCCAGGCTGCGGTGCAGTGGCATCATCATAGTTCACTGCAGTCTCGAACTCCAGGGCTCAAGTGATCCTCCTGCCTCAGCCTCCCAAAGTGTTGGGGTAACAGGTGTGAGCCACTGTGCCCGGCCAACTCCAGAATCTTATACTCTTAAACTCTCGTGTTTCTCCCAAACATGTTTCTGTTGATTCTCAAAATGGCAAAAGTCAGGATGCTCAATTTTAAAGCTTGACAGCTGATAGCACTTTTCACAACAAAAATCAGTAACATTTAGAAACAAATTTGATTAAATTCATAAGTGTCTGAATAAATCATGCTTTTGGATTTAATGTAAAATGTGTTAAAGCTTATATGCAGCCCACATTAAATTACTTCAGAGCATTAAAAAAAAGCAGGAAGTGGGGCTGTCAGCCCAGCTGATTCTGTCCCTGACCCTCCTCTCCTCATGGTGGGGTCACCAAGCCGCACCCCTAGGGTGTCGGTGCCGCCCTGGGCACAGGCTCTGGGTTTGGGGCCCTTCAAGAGCCTTTCTTTTTTCTTTTTTGAGACAGAGTCTCACTGTGTTGCCCAGGCTAGAGTGCCATGGCGTCAGCCTAGCTCACAGCAACCTCAAACTCCTGGGCTCAAGTGATCCTCCTGCCTCAGCCTCCCGAGTAGCTGAGACTACAGGCATGCGCCACCATGCCCGGCTAATTTTTTCTATATATTTTTAGTTGTCCGATTAATTTCTTTCTATTTTTAGTAGAGACGGGGTCTTGCTCTTGCTCAGGCTGGTTTCTAACTCCTGAGCTCAAACAATCCGCCCGCCTTGGCCTCCCAGAGTGCTAGGATTACAGGCGTGAGCCACCGCGCCTGGCCTCAAGAGCCTTTCTGAGCACCGGGCTCCATTGCCTCCAACTCCATCTGCTGCCTGCCCTGGCCACCAAGGCCCCCCATGCCTCAATGCCAACCCTCCCAGGGCCCTTCCCTGCAGCAGGGAGGGACTGTCCCACTTACCCCTTCATGCTTGGCAGTAATGCAGAGAATTTAATTTATTTTAAATGCTCTGTACATCAAATCTAAGCCCAACGGGGATGCCTGGGCCAGACTGACTGGGCCTGCCAACCTCCACCCACAGGAATGAGCGGGGGTGGCTCAGCAGAGTGGACTCTGGAGGTGGGTCCTCCACTCAGCTGTCCTTTGTCCTCAACTCCGTGGACATCCCTCAGCCCAGGACGAAGAGTTAGCATCACACTTGACACCCCTTGACAGGACCAGACGGAGTGAGCTTGGGAAGGGAGTCGCCGTACACTGGCTGGAAAAAGCATGTAGGGAACAGAGCAGTGACTGCAGATCTGGTCCCCTCCGTCCATCCCGGGTCAGCAAGCTGCACCCTGGACTCTTTCCTGTTTTCCTCATTGACATCTAACATCCCCGAGTCACGTTGGTTCCCTCCCCCAAAAGGTGGGCTTGGATCTGTCCCCTTCTCTCTTCCTTGCTGCCACCAAGCTGTCCAGACAACGCCTGGGGCTGAGTGCGCCTTCCTTCCTTGCACAAATGATCACAGAGCAACGACTGCTTGCCAGGCACAGAGCGGGACGCAGGAGACACAGCAGTGAACAAAGCCCGCCAGGTGCTCACCCTTTCAGCGCCGTTGCTCCGACCGCCTCCTCCCGGGCCAGCCTCCATACCCTCGGCTTCTCCACTGTCCTTCCCGCAAGGCCTGACACTGTCCCCGCCCGGGCCCTCCACCGGCCGCTGGGATGAAGCCTCGGCGCCGTACCCCGCACCTCCTCCACGTCCCCCCACCGCTGAACTAGCCCCGGCCCTCGAGCCAGCGCACTGGCCTCCCTCCGCTTCCCCAGACGACCCTCGACGACGCCTCTGCACCTGCTGTTCCCACCACCAGGCGCGCGCTTCCCCTCGGTCTCAGCTGCAACATCGCCTCCTCGGAGACGCCTCTCCCTTTTCATCTCACCGTCGGCTCTGCCCAAGCTCCTAGTTCCCTCCGGCCGCACTGCCCGCCGACCGCGCCCACCCACCGAGTTCCGCCAGCGCCGAAGCCGCGTCTACGCGGTCACCCCCACACACCACCCGCGTTTTGACCGTACGAATTCACGCCCTGCACCGGCTCGTCTCTGAGCTGCCTCCGCCCTGAAGGCCCCCACGGCTGGCCGCGGAGACGCCGGGCCTGCAGCCCGGCACCTGGGGCGGGCGTGGGAGCCGGAGTCCGGCCGCGCGCGGGCCCACTGCGCACGCGCACGGAGAGGGACGGGGCCGCGGCCGCGTTAACCCGCTCCGCACCGCAGATGAGCCGCCCACGCGGCGCGGTCCTGCAGCTCCTAGAGCCGCCAGTTTGTCCATTCTGGTAGGCGCGCAACCAGCCCGGGACAGCCCCGGATACTTGTCCAAGAGGGAGACACACTAAGCGCCCCAACGCGATTCCCCCACAAACTGCCTTGGCCCTTTAATACTCCCCCGCTCGCGCCCATTGGTTGAGACGTTCTGCGTCATCGCTGCGCGCCGGACGGCGGTGCCTTCCCGCTCCTTTACTCTGACGCCAGAGCTGCGCCGGCCTCAGCGATTGAGGAACGCGGGAGGTGGCGGCGGGAAGATGTAAGTTGGGGCCAGAATCCGACCGCATCCGAGCTTCAGGGTCCCCCCGCCAGACTCGGCAGGGCCCATCGTGAATCCGGCCCGCTCCTCAGCACCGCGGTGCGGCGGCGGCCTGGCGGCGCGGCGCAGGATGCAGAAAGAAAGAGCGTGGCTCGGGGCGGGCGGAGTGGGAGGCGTCGGGGCCGCGGCCCGGAAGTGGTCGGGGCCGCAGCGGACGGAAGGGCGTCCGTGTTTCGTCCGCTCCGCGGCGGCGGCCCAGCCAGGCCCCCGGGACTCAGGGCACCAGGGAGCGCGGTTTCCCCCCTTGGGGCTTTCCCGCCGGGCCAGAGACCCAGGCCCGCAACGCCAGGCCCTGCCCCGGAAGGGGACGGGGAGCGGCGAGGTCGCCGTGTTGGGCCGGCGCCGGCGGGCGCAGTTTCTTTGTGGGATGCCGCGGAAGGCCGGCTGATTCTCCCTTCGGAGTCATTATTCAAACATTGACTCCGCGAACGTTCACTGAGCCCCTGTTGCCGTTCTTGGCGCTAGGCCTTGGGGATACACCCCAAAGTGGACCGAGCACAGTGGCCGAGCTCATTTCGACTCAGTACCCGAGAAGGGTGGATACGGGAAGGTTGAAGTCGATGGAGGAGAAACGCGGAGTAGGCTTTTCTGTTTTTATTTTGCATGAATTATGCCTGAAATGTACTTTTAAATGGGACGGTCCTCTGAAGATTTGTGCTGAAACGCCATCTGCTCGAGATTTAACTAATTGTTCTCTCTCTCTCTGTTGGACGCGCACCTTTCCGGAGGATGGGGGAGGTAACCAAGGTCCTGAGCTGTTACCTGAACTTGTGTGAACACAGAACCTCACCTTTGGCTTTCTAGCACTCGACCACACCCAGCAAGGCGTTCACTTTGTGGTTTTTAATTTTTAGAGTGCTTAAGAATAACTGGTGCTTGATACATAGAGTACATTCGGGCAGATCTTTAGGACGGGGGCGGGAGAAGGGGGTGTGTGGCTGGAATCTGCGTGTGCGACCGTCACTCTAGGTCTGCACTGTCCAGTAAAGTAGCCTTTGGCCATGTGTAGCTATTGAGCATTTGAAATATAGCTAACCCAGACTGAGATGATAAAATGATACATGCCAGATTTAAAAGACTTTCTTTACTATGAAAAAAAGTAAACCTTTATTGGTAAATTTTAACAGTGATAACATGTTGGAAAGATGTTTCGGATATAGTGTGTCAAATCTTAAAAACTAATTTCACCTGCTTTTGTGATGTGGCTGTTAGGAAATTTCAGGTTATGCTTGTGGCTGATGCTCTGTTTCTATTGGACGGCGCTGCTGTAGGCGGCCGTAAGCCGGGGAGGGGGCCTTGGTCCAAGAATCCCTGTTGAGCATTCAGAAATTGTGTGGCTTTGGAAACAGTATGTATATGGGGAAGGAGCCTCCAAATAGGGAGAAACAGCCCTTTCTTCTAACATTGGCTAACATTTGTTGAGGCTTAACTGGGTGCCATGTCTCTTTTGTGAATTAACTTAATTAATGCCCCTGGTAACTATAAGGTGGGAACTGTAATTGTCACCATATTGCCAGTGAAAAACCTCAAATCAAACCCAGGCATGCTGACTCCAGACTCTTAACCTCTGAATTGTATTCACTGATTGATTACCCCAGGACACTAACCTTGTCAGGTGCTGCCTGCTGGGTGTATCTAGTACGTTACTGTTTTAAGGCAAAACATTTTGAAAGGTTTTACATTCCTGGAGAAGAGCAGCAAAGGTGATATTCTACCTCTTCTACTCCCATTTGGCCAAAGCTGAGTGCTCTTCTTTCTTGGGTCAGAATGTGTATTTGGCAGCATTTTGAAGCATTCCTGGCAGGTGTGCCCTGCACACGTGAAACCAGGACTCGATCGGTGTGCTGTGTCCTCCTTATTTGCAGGCTGTTGGAGAAGGTGAGACAGAAGTAGTTAAGACCAGCATCCTGAGATCTTTGCTTACAACTCACGAAGATTGTACAAAGCCTCCCTGGAAATACTGAAGGCAGCAGTCCCTGGAAAATAGGGCATATAATGAATTAGTTGTTTGTGGGTTTTTTGTTTGTTTGTATTTTTTTGGTTTTTTTCTTTGGAGACAGGGTCCAGGCTGGAGTGCAGTGGCACAATCATAACTCACCATAACCTCAAGCAATCCTCCTGCCTCTGCCTCCCAAAGTGTGGGATTATAGGTGTGAGTCACCACACCTGGGCAGTAGTTTGTTTTTGAGTAGTAATTTGTTGCCATTATTTGGGCACATGCTACAATCCAGGCATTTTGCTAAACCCTTACGTGACATGCAGTATCTCACCCAATTTCAATGTCTGCTTTTTTCCCTAACATCTTATTTCTAAGCACTGAAAGAATTGTGCATTTAATACCCACATAACCACACCTAGATTCTGCAAGTCACGTTTCTGCCATATTTGCTTTATCATGTATCATGTATAGCCACCCATCAATCTTTACTTTTTCTTGCATTTCAAGGTAAATTGCAGATTTGTGTGTACTTTCCTATACACATTTCATATGCATATCATTAACCAAAGTTCAGTATTTGCTATAATTCTTCTAATGCTTTTTAAATGTTCACATGGGACATTTCATGTATTTGCATTTGACTGTTAAATGTTTTATGCTAGTACCAGTTGCTTTTGAAATGGAAAGCAAACTCCCAGTCATATTATCCAGTGTATCCTAAAAGGAAATTACCACAATGAAACAAGATCTAATCCTGTCTGCAGAGCCATACTCAAGTTAGCTTTTTCTCTGTTCTGCATGTGAATGGTGCTATGGTGTTTTGACAGAACCGCAGAGGGCTTGTCCTCAAACTTAGGAGTGAAAAGTGGTATTGTACAACCTCTACAATAACAACAGTGGGTACCACTGCCACCTCCTTTTTTTTTTTTTTTTTAAGATGCTGAGGTGTCAGTTGTACCTGTGGGGATAGAGAACCCTCCATGAGGAGATGGTGACTGTCCCCATGGGTTCCTGGCTGTGTGGACACTAGTTGCTTACTGTGTTCCTTTGCTGCCTTCTCATATACTCAACTTTTACTGCAAAGTAGATTTGTTGCCTTGCCAATTCGTTCACTCTTTAAATCCTTTTATCTTGTTATTAGGCTGCTCTTTGGCGTAAATTGCAATCGATTAGGGATCGTTTCTCAGAATCAAGTTAGAAGTGAGAGTTCAGATAAGTGAGGCCGCCATTGCTGCTTTGAACACCTCAGAAGGGGACAATGGATTTATCAGGAGTGAAAAAGAAGAGCTTGCTAGGAGTCAAAGAAAATAATAAAAAGTCCAGCACTAGGTAATCCTCTGTAAGATTTTTCTAGTGCTACTGTGGGGGTGCTCACTGCTAGGGACCCTCAGAAAGGGGAAGATTGAAAATGTTTTGTATTGTACAGTGAGTGTCCTAAGCCACAGATCATTTTGCTCTGTGCTCACCTGGGATCTTTGTAGCCCTGCTGGATCCCCTCTTGTGGGTTGTGCTGTTGTCCTTGGGTTTGGTCACAGGAGCATGCAGTCTCACACTCTTCCTCACCATCCAGGGCTCCTTCTCCTACCAAACGCAAAGACCGCTCTGATGAGAAGTCGAAGGATCGCTCCAAAGATAAAGGGGCTGCCAAGGAGTCGAGTGAGAAGGATCGCGGCAGGGATAAAACTCGAAAAAGGCGCAGCGCTTCCAGTGGTAGCAGCAGCACCAGGTGGGGCTGGCTGGCCTGGAGCCTGGAGAGGACCCCGCTGCAGCAGCCACCTCCCTCCTTTCCACAGAGGGCTCAGTTTCCTCAATTATTTCCAAAGAAAACACACCCTCAGATTGTTAATAGAGACCCTATTTTACGGCAGAACGGTTTGGGGTTTGCCCTAGTTATATATAAAAGATATGTTTGGATTTTTTCCTTTTCTTTAGATATAAGGAGACATGACATTTTGGGGTATATTTTTCTCAAGTGTGTTTTATTCAGAATTGTGATTGGATTGCCCTGTTCTAGAGTTTATTTTTCAGTAGTTGAAACCAGCCTGAGTCAGCCAGCAGCCACCTTCCCAGCTTAAGTTGGTAGTTCTGGCTTTTGTCAGACTCCTTTTACCTCCCAGTAGGAAAGGCATCTGTGTAGGTAGAGAGCAGCCCATCCCCCTTTCCTGTCACCTGCACAGTGTGAAGCCTAGGACCAAAGGGGGTAGTGGCAAGGTGTTTTCCCCACTGGGAAAGGCAACAGGGCTGGAAGGGACAGCAGTTTCCTCCCCTGAAGAGCACAAAACAGGCTTGAAGGAGACAGGCGTCTGCTGTACCACCCTTCCTGTTGTTATGACACCACCACCCCCAATCTTGCCCTCAGGTCTCGCTCCAGCTCAACCTCCAGCTCAGGCTCCAGCACCAGCACTGGCTCAAGTAGTGGCTCTAGCTCCTCTTCAGCATCGAGCCGCTCGGGAAGTTCCAGCACGTCCCGCAGCTCCAGCTCGAGCAGTTCCTCTGGCTCTCCAAGTCCTTCTCGGCGCAGACATGACAATAGGCGGCGCTCCCGCTCCAAGTAAGTTCCCCAAACTTGTGAACTATCTAGGAACTTAACTTTACAAACTGGGGGCTATAAATTTGCTGGAGCTACTATAAATGTAGACCAAAAAGGAGTCTTCCAGTGTTAATAGGATTTCTGAGACAGGAATAACATACAGGAACTGGTGGGAAAGTCTTCCCTATAAAAACTATCATACAAGCAGATAATATCCCACTAAAAAGAAATCAGATACATTTTAACTTGACAAAAGTTGATTTTTTTCTGGTGTTTTTATTTCTCAATCAGATCCAAACCACCTAAAAGGGATGAAAAGGAGAGGAAAAGGCGGAGCCCTTCCCCTAAACCCACCAAAGTGCACATTGGGAGGCTCACCAGGAATGTGACCAAGGTGAGGATCACAGATCCATCTCGTGGGCAGTGGATATGGACTAGCAGGCCTTTGCCAGCAGGTGAATTTAGAATGTAGCTTTTCGATTTGAGTAGAGCACTGATTCATTCCTTTTGATGGACTATTATGTGCCTAGGAGACCCTGGTTCTCATCAGAACTGGTAGGTGACATTAGAGTGACCATTCTTTCCCTTTTAGGATCACATCATGGAGATATTTTCCACCTATGGGAAAATTAAAATGATTGACATGCCCGTGGAAAGGATGCATCCCCATCTATCCAAAGGCTACGCATATGTGGAGTTTGAGAATCCAGATGAAGCTGAGAAGGCACTGAAGCACATGGACGGAGGTGAGTGACCTGCCGGCACCTTTGTCCCCTCAGAGACCCCTGCTCATCGGGACCTTTCCATCCCGGCTGCGCCTCAGAGTCTCTTTCGAGCTCTCTCAGGATTCCAGTTCTTACTCAGTGGGTGTGTATTTACCAAAAACATGTCTTAGGAACACTATTCTTAGGGTGGAAAAATCAGCAAATATGAATATATTAGCATTTTTTTAAATTTTCAATCTGTTAAAAGCATAAGGATCAAATAGAGGTTTCTTATAAAGAACATATTTGACTTTTTAGATGGGAATACTTCCTTTAATCCTTTCTGAGAGTCATTTTCTGTTTTCCCAACATTTCAGTATTTTGCTAAATGACAGATTTGCGGAATTTACAAAATTTACTTACTTCCTAAACACTTATCTCTCTTAACTGTCTATAACATTTTAGCTGTTGTATTGGGCAGAACGGTTTTAAAAACAAGTGAACAGTTGTAAATAGTTAGATGACCAATTTTCATTTTGTCCTCAAGTCAGCGTTTTAAGGAATGTGGAATTTGTCCCTGTCTAGCTCCCTACTGCAATGATCTAGGCAGCCAGGGCTGAGAGCTCGCAGTCTGCAGTCCCCTCTGGGCTGGGAGCCAGGCCCAGGTGGGCAGGAGTGTGCGAATGCCCCAGAACCTTGGAGTCCTCTGAGGCCCTGTTACAAACCTTATAAATAGCTTGACAGGTTTTTTGATAATTACCTTTAAGCTCTGGTAGAGTTTGGGTATTAGAGAATTTTCCTTGGTGTTTAATAACTAACTTCTCTTTTAGCTAAATACCTCTGAAATGTGTTAGGAGCTGCACTGTGTCACTCACATCCACTCTTGGCCTTGTGAATCACACCTTTGCTTTAGTCTGCCAATCATCTGGTATTCGACAAAGTCTGAGCAGTTGCTGATAAGCTTAAAAACTCAAGAAACTTGCATGTCCAGTGAGGGCATGATTATAAAAATTTCAATTTTTCCTAAGATTCTAATAGGATGTGTTCCATGTGTCCCCCATACTGTGCTGTGTATCATTGATTGGAGCCAGTCCACACTGTCTCCAGGAGAAGATTGTAAGAGGTTGGCCTTCTAGCTAGCGGCAGCTAGCCAGATAATGGATTTGTCTTCATTATTGTATAGTCAGTGCCATAAAATTCCTCATTTGAGCTGGTTTTGGCAGTGGGCCAGGGGCCATCTTGGGTTGGGTTGAGTTACTTAAGCCTCTTAAGTATCTTCTGAACACATGTCCGTGTGCTTGAGTTAGCTCTAGGTACCTTTGAAGTTGCCTCGAAGGTAGAAGTTAAGAAGACAAAGAGCTCTTGTACCTTTGGGGGGCACAAAAGGGACTGAGGCTGGACTCTGGGCACCCTCAGCTATGGAGACGATCTCTTGAGGTCAGGGGTACATGCTCCCCTGAGGTTCCTGAGTCTGCACTTGAGTTTCCTTTGCTCTTTCTCTCCCTGGGACCTCCATCCTGCAATGCCTCCCCTCACTCTTGCTGTGGTGTTGGCACGCACGCAGATGTTTAAATACTGTACATGCAGAGTCACCTCTCTTAGGCCTCTTGTTCAGACTCCTAATACAAAGTACTCAACATCTATTGAAACTTCTTTCATGCTGTTACCCTCAGAGCCCCACCTCTCGGTAGGTGGAAGCTCATCCAGATAATCACTTGCCACCCCCTCGTGTCCATTATTTAATTTTATTTTTAGAGACAGGGTCTTGTCACCCAGCCTGGAGTGCAGTGGCTCCGTAATAGCTCACTGCAGCCTTGAGCCCTAGGCTCAAGCGATCCTCCTGCCTCAGTGTCCTGAGTAATTGGACAGGTACGGCCACCATTCCTGGATAATTTTTTAAATTTTTTTTATAGACAGGGTCTTACTAAGTTGCTCAGGCTGGTCTCAAATTCCTGGGCTCAAGCTATCTTCCCACCTCACCCTCCCAAGTGGCTGGGACTACAGGCACCACTGTGCCCGGCTTCTCTGCATTTCATTTGATGTCACAGAAGCTTCCTAACAGGTCTCCCCTCCTCTTGGTCCCAGTTTCCCATCCTCCTTGAGAAGGAAACTCCAATGCTGATACCGCCTTCATGGCCCTGCCCAGAGGGACTGCCTGCCCCTCAGGCCCCATGTTGACCTGCCACTCCCCTAGTTGCTTCCTTCCCTCACTAGTGCTTTGGGTCCTTCCCAGCTCAGGGCCAGTCACAACCCTTCCCTTCCCCTCCCTTCCCTTCCACCTAGTGGATTCCAGCACCTTCTTTAGGTCTTGACTTGGTTGTCACTTCCTCAGGGTGGCTGTCCCAGCACACCACTGTTTGAAACCCCTGTTAGTTTCCATGCTCCCTTACGGTTTTCCTGATGAGACTTCAGTCCCGATGTCCTGATCATTTAGGTTTGTCATTGTATTCCCCAGGCCTGCCTTATTCACCGGGGCATACTTTGCCTAGGGTGGGTACTTGGTAGATATTTTATGTCTTGGTCCTTTTTTCAACAGGACAAATCGATGGCCAGGAGATCACTGCCACTGCTGTGCTGGCCCCCTGGCCTAGGCCACCCCCCAGGCGATTCAGCCCTCCCAGGAGAATGCTGCCGCCACCTCCCATGTGGCGCCGGTCTCCCCCACGGATGAGGAGAAGGTAAATCAATTTGGAGCCTCACAGTGGACTGACGGGGCCACAAACCTCCGTGACAAGAATGACTTTGGGACCCTTTATTCATCCCTGCCTGCCCTCGGCTGCTGTGTGGGTGGGAGGTGGCCCTTCAGAGTTGGTGGGGAAAGCTGGTAGGAGGGCCACCACTGCGGTGAGTGATGGTCAGAAGAGGCCCAGAGTTGTGCCAGCGCTCCTTTCTGAGTCTGAGCAGTGACGTGGCATGGCCTTCCCAGGAGACTTCTGGATCCTGAGACCAGGTGCAGGCCTGCTCCCCTTCCTACCTAAGAAAAGAGGAAGGGTCAGCGGAGTGGTGGGGGCGGGGGATAATCCCTTTGGCAGAGGCTTCACTTTGGCCTTCCCTGGCCGGGGGTGTTGAGCTATACTTTCTCCAGCCCTGAGAAAGAGGAGAGTCTGGGGCTGTGCCTTAGGTCTCAAGAACACCCTTTTCCCTTCCCAGAGCTCCAGGTCATTCCCATTCGATGGGAGCTGTCCCAGCTTCTAGTGTTGAAAAGTAAAACTGTGGAGAACTGTTCCAGAAAGAAGCTAGCTTGCCCCTAAGGCCCATGCCGAGTCTGACATGGTTTCTCCTCTTCTCACAGGTCCCGCTCCCCGAGGCGCAGGTCCCCTGTGCGCCGGCGATCCCGTTCCCCTGGCCGCCGCCGCCACCGGAGCCGCTCCAGCTCCAACTCCTCCCGATAAGCAGGGCCACCGAAGCTCATGCCCCCTGTAACTTATACCCCATCCCATCCCATCCGGATCAGTTTTGTCACTTTTCTAGCCAAAGGAGGATCGGTAGGAAAGGAAATTCCTCACTCGGGCAGGCTTGGAAGCCAGCTATTGACAGCTCTGCAGGCCGGTTTCCAGCTGCTGAAGTACTGTTGGTTTGGAGTTGTGCCTGTAAAGATGCCCTCAGTTTTCTGGCTAGAAAGCTCACCTGGTTCCAGTACCTGAGAGTCAGTTCAGTGGCAAAGCCACCAGGGACAAGCAAGGCTCCAGGTGGCAACGTGGGCCAGCCTGGGAACACGCTTTTGCTTTCCACATGTGGCCTGGTCACACCCTCACTGGTACTGCACAGCGTCCTTGGGGAAAGGGAGCTGCGCTTTTGCCAGAGCTGTGTGGCCTGGCCTTTTGCTTTCCTGCCTGAGTAGTCTTCTGACCTCGTGGGTCTAACACCCCAGAAGAGCCTCTCGCCCCAAGGCAGTTGTGGTAAATGGTTGTCTGTTCGCGTTCTGGTGCACATGCCACGCCTCGAATCCCCGTCCTCTGAAATTGGTGAGCAAGTTGAGAGCCGGCGCTGCAGGGCTGGCACAGAGCCCCCACTGGGCCTGCCTTTCCTGGTGGTTTTGCAGGTTACCTTGGCAACGTGTACATTGCTTCTTTTTGCTTGTATTGTACAGTCAGTACTATAAAATTTGTTTTGAGTTTTGTAACTTTGTAGCATTTTAGATAACATTGTGTTCGTACTTCTGTAGAGTGAAGGAATTGTGTTAAATAAACCTAGGATTCCAGTGCAGAGTGCTGGTTTCACTGCCTCCTTCCTGTCCCTTAGTCCCCAGCACACTTTGTGATTTCTAGTGCCCCACTAAGAACTGAATTTTGGTTTCATTTCCAAAGTGACCCCTCCAGAAGCTTTCAGGCAGGAGAGCGTAAGGCCAGTGTCCTGCAAGCTCGAAGTGGTGGACAGACAGAGAGGGCTGGTGTCTAAAAACCTTCATCTTTTTAGAAGCTTCAAATTCTGCCAGCCCAGAAATATGAATCTTATTTGCTGCTACTATATTAAGTAGCTATAGAAAAAATTTTTTTCCACCTCAAAATTTGGTTCAGGCCACAGGGAAAAATTGGAAATGCTCAGGTGATAACAAAGTTGACATCACTGAACACTGCTGAGCCCTTACTGTGCCCAGTGCTCTGAATAGTCAGGGAAGACCCCCTCTTCCCCCCACCTCAGTGCCCTGCCCAGACAGGTGGCCAGTTGTATTCATGTCCTTTCCATGTTGGTGCAAATAAAAAGTTTAAGAGGTGCCACTGCTATCCCACAGCAGGGAGGGTGCAGGGTGCCTGCTGGCCCAGCCTTGCCTTCAAGGAGGCTGTCTGGCATCCTTATCTGTACACAGGGGTTCTTATGCGCAAGATGGGTGGTCCGTTCTTAACCACCTGCGGTGCTGCCTCTGCCCCCCAGTTCTGCCAGCTCTGATTCCTGTTCCCCAAAGGGGCAGGAGGGCTCACCCTAGGCAGCCCCAGGCCTGCCCCCGAGGGCCCTTGTGTGGTTTTAGCACCCTGATCTGATGGCCTTACCTGCTCAGATGCTGTGACAGCTGCCTCTGGCAAGGAGCTTGCCTGGTCCCTTATTGCCACTTGAGCTCACAACTGGCACCCACGGCCTCCTGCCTTAGTGATTTTGGTCTTTGGTCAGTGGACCGCACCGGAAGCAGGAAGAGGGGACATGTCTTCTCGGCCTGGCGCTGGGGCTCAGTGGTGGGTGGGGCAGCGCCTGGCCGTCCTGCCGCCAACTGCAGGAAGGGCCTGCCCCGGCCACCGCGTTGGTCACGATTGCGTTTGCAGAGGGGCTGGGGTGAGCCAGAGCATTGCCTGGGCGGCCGACTCGCCTCCCCCCTCTGCGGCCCCTTTGACCGCGGCCCCAGCGAGCCAAGCGGGCGGGGCGGGGGCGGGCCGGGCCGCGGGAGAGGGCGCCCGCCGGTCCCGCCCCCCGTCTCGCCCCGCCCCGGCGGGAGGCGCGGCCACAGCGGGCGACCCCGGCCCGCCCCGCGCGGTCAAGATGGCGTTGGCGGCGGGAATGCGCGTCCGTGCGCGCGCGCTGCTCCGTGCAGGTGCGGGCCCCGGCGCGGGGGTCGGGGCCGGGGGCGGGGGCGCGGGGGTCGGGCCCGGGCCCGGGAAGAGCTAACCGGCCTCCCGCGCTGCGTCCGCAGGGGCCCAGCTCCGGGGCGCGGCCCTCGGGCGGCCGGAGCCGGCGGGCGGCGGCGGGGACGGCGCGCGGCGCTTCGCGAACCTCCGGGTGCTGGTGGAGACGGACCCGGCCGCAGGTAAGCGGGCGCCGGCCGGGGCGGCCTCCGGGTGGGCGGGGGCTGGCCGAGGAGCCCAGAAGTCGGTCGGGGTCCAGACTGAAGTGTTAGAAGGCAGTCGAATTTCTAAAGGCAAGGAGGTGAAGCCGGATTTTTAAAATTCGGTTTCTCTTTAGAACTTAAGGGTTATCACACCAGGTGGCTTAAATGGGCTTTGTTCATTATGAAGATGGAGATGATTCTGTTTTTAAAGTTTGGGGGATATGATCTGTTGTCTAAGCTATTAATTGGACCTTGAAAATAATTGGAAGTATTTTGGAATGAAATGTTTTAATTGACCTTAACACTCCCATGTGACACAGAACCCAGTGTCACTCTTACCTGCCTCTACCCGAAACCCTGCAGAGGGGATTAGAAGCACTTTTTGAGGGGCTTCTTGTTAACACCAACTATGAGTCCAACAAAAACTTGAGTTTTTGCAGGATCATTTCTGTGGCAGATTTGAATAAATTTCAAAACATGTAAAAACACACATCTTAAAGTATTGGAATGGGTAGTAGGACTGCACAACACTGAATGTATTTAGCGCCAGAGGACCTCACACCGCAAGATGGCCAGAATGCTAAATGTTACATACGTTTTAGCACCATTTAAATGTCTGTGTGTGTGTGTGTGTGTGTGTGTGTGTGTATCTCCAGTAAAAAACAGTATTGGTGAAATAATTTTCTTACCCAAGTGCTTTACACTCTACCACGTAAGAACCTGCTAACTTATGTGGCTCCGTGTGATGGAAAGTGGAGTCTGGGGTCAGAAAGCCAGGCCTGACTCTGTCCCCATTACCAGGGAAAAGGCAAATATTGTGAAATGGAAACACCAAGATCTGTTGATCCTTCAGGGCAGCCTGAGGCTTGGATGAAGTAACAGCTCAAACGCGCCTTTTTAACGTCTGCGCCCTGCGTCGGTGCTGCGGTGGTGGAGCTGACCCGAGGTTCTGTTAACAGTTGGGATCAGGAGGCATTTATCCAGCACCGCCCTGGGCCAGGAATGCCGCCACTTGCCACGTGACATCCAAGCTCTTCCAGATTCTCCCCAGTGAGCTCATGCTCACCTTTGGCCCCTTTACCTCCCCAGCCCCTCTCCCACCCTGTGTCCTCCTTTCTGCCCAGCTTCAGAGTCAACTTTAGAAAATTCCCTCTGAGCCAGGTTTGGGGAACTTGTTCTGGAAGTTCTAACAGCTCATTTTTTATGTGTATGCCTTACACCAGCAGCCGGGTAAGAACTGCCTCTTCCTTGTAAACCAACGGGCCCAAAGAGCCCAGTTGCCGTCAAGGCTTGCGTCTCATTCCCAGAGAATGGCTTGTGTTGACAATGCAGACGCTTCTGAGGTCCTCACCAGGGAAATGCTCCTTACACAAATGGTGGCGTTTCTGAAGCCCTTGGGATCTGCCCTTGGGGCAGGAGGCGAGAACAGGTGACCTGAGCCAGCCTGGCCAGCAGCTCCGGCGTCCACGATGGCAGGCCCTGTCCCTGCTGTTTTCTCTGCTGCTGGCAGAGTGAATGGGCAGACCACAGAAAGTTTGAAAACATCTGACCCCCAATATTTTCAGCCTTTATCCTCAAACACACGTGAGCCAGAGGCTCCCCACTGGGGTTTCTCTGTGTATATCTGGTGCTTAGGTTTTTCTCACTCCTCAAGAAACTGAGGCCATTCCCTGCTCCCACGAGGACACAGGACTTGGTACTGCAGAAAGAAACACAGGGGCACCGAACGCACTGATGAAGTAGGACACAGGCGTGCGGGCAAGCTGGCAGGGAGACGCGAAGGCAGAAGAGAGGTGACCGGCTCCACCAGCTGCTCTTGCACAAGACAGAGAGTCAATAGCCCAGAGCCCAGGCTGGCAGAAGCAACCTCTGTTGACTCTCTTCAGGCGTCCTCCAGGCTTGGGGTGGAGGATGAAGAGGCATGTGGTCTTTGTCCAGAATGGACAGACAGAACTGGATGGTGTGAAGTCGGGTTACAGGATAGATTTTAATTTTCAGAGAAACTTTTACTTCAACTAAGATAAGGGTCCTTGCCAGAGTACTGCACCGGAATGAGAGTAGGGCTACCCCTAAAGTCTGGCGGACATCTGGGAGGGGCCGGACCAAACTGTCGCAGGTGGCTGGGCCTGCAGAGCCAGCGCGTCCAGGGGCAGGGCAGGCGCACAAGGCAGGCACTGCCCTCAAAGATGAGACCCGACTGAACTGCGGGGATCTCGGCCCCTGCTTGATGGCGAGCAGGGGGCTCGCCCGAGGGGGCAGAAGGTGGTGGTTGCGTCAGTGTCCTAGGGCTGCCATTACAAAGTAGCACAGAGCGAGGGGCTCAGACGACGGACGTGTGTTCTCCCAGTTCTGGAATCAGAAAGTCCCACAGACGGTGCTCCCTCCCCAGGCTCTAGGAGAGGATCCCTCCTTGCCTCTTCCAACTTCTGCCGGCTGCCCGCGACCTTTGGTGCTTCCTGCCACGTAAGCGCACTCCTGCAGCCCTGCCTCCATCTCTACGCGGCTTCTCCTTGGACCTCTTCTCTTAATGCTCATAAGGACACCGGTCATATTGGATTAAGAGCCCCCCCAGTGTGACCTCATTGTAACTTACATCTTAATGACATCTGCAAAGACCCTATTTCCAAATAAGGTCACATGCACGAGTACCAGGAAATAGGACTTTAACATCTTTTTGGGGGTACACAGTTCAACCCGCAAGGGCAGTGAGGCTGAACACCCAGGGTCCCTGAGGGTTTCCTCCCTAATTTTCCGCAGTCCTGGGGGCAGGTTGCAAACCTCTGGGGTTTTTGTTGTTGTTCCTTTGTCCTTGAGAGCATTGCTTGCCTCTCCACTTTATAACATGGTTCTTGACATATTTGGGGGAGAAGTACCTTGAGCAGAGTGTACTGGGAAAATAATTTATCCCTTTCTATTCTAAGTTTATTTGTAATTCTCGCTGTCTGAACAAAAACTTTATGAATTCTGCACACCACGGTGCTGTGTGAGCTGAAGAAATAAAACCGGCTGGTCTCTTTGTTCTGCTAGAGGCTGCCAGCCCCTGCGTGGGAGATCAGAGTTCCAGCGTTTTCCTTCTCTCGGCACACTGGGTTCAGAGACAGCGCATCTTTGTGAATACAAGCGGTCCGTGTGTGCCAAAAGGAATCTGTCTCCTTGGAAAAAGGAAAAATTAAAAATGATGTTATAGAACACGGGGTCAGCAAATCCAGCCCATCACCCATTTTTATAAATAAAGTTTTATTGGCACACAGCTGAGCCCGCTTGTGCTGACTTGTACAGTGGCCCTGTGGCCTGCAAAGCGGAAGACGTTTACTCCCTCACCCTTTATAGAAAGGCCTACCACTGGGCCAGAAGGTCAGTAAGTGGAGTGGGGCGTCCTGGGGAGGGTCTTGGCAATGTGGCTTCACCTTCAGCCTGTTTAATTGGGCTGTTTAATAGACACCCTTGTGGTTTAAGATGACACTTTTTTTATTTATTTGAGCCAGGGTCTTGCTATGTTGCCCAGACTGATCTCGAACTGGCCTCAAGCGATCCTCCTGCCTCGGCCTCCCAAAGTGCTGGGATTACAGGCATGAGCTGCCACACCCGGCCCTGACTCCTTCTCGTTAAAATCATTGATTTATGTTATGTGAATCTCACCTCTATTTTAAAAATCCCAAAACCGTGCAGTTACCCATGGCCTGGTTGAGGGTGCAGGCTGGTCAGGGCGATTTCCCAGCACTGGATGTGAGCTTTATCTTCCTCTTTCTGTACCGTAGGGGTCGCTGTGATGAAACTGAAGAACCCGCCAGTGAACAGCCTCAGCCTGGAGGTCCTGACGGAGTTCCTCATCAGCCTGGAGAAGCTAGAGAATGACAAGGCCTTCCGCGGCATGGTCCTCACTTCGGTGAGTGCCCACGTGGCCCTCACGGCCCTGGTTCTCCCATCAAAGTGCAGACCTGTTGCCATGCTGGAAAAAGGTTGGCGCCAGCCGTCACATGGTGTAGAACAACCAGACAGCCCCGACATCCTGGATGCCAAAAGCCACCATGAGAGGCTTCTGGGGAGTGTGGTCTGGGTGTGGCCCCGTAGGGACCCCAGTTGTGCCGGGGGCCTCGGGCAGATCATTCTCCTGAAGGCAGACTGGTGTCCGAGACGGTCTTCCGAGGCCTGTGCAGTTGTCAGAGCGGACCCTGGGCAGAGCTGTGGTGCTCAGCAGCCTGGGCCAGAGTCAGCGAGGGAGAGCAGTGTGTCTGCAGGGGCAACCTTGAGCCCGTGCCACTTCATGGAACGTGGCGGTGGGTTCTTGGGGCGCTTCCCTCAGAGCCCCTTGGTGCCTTGAGCCAGTCCCATTAATGACATTTGTCACAAAAGCCATGCTCTGTTTTTCTTTGGGCTGGTCTTCAAGTCAAATTCTGTTTCAGTTTCTTTTTTTTATTTTTTCTGAGACAGTCTCACTCTGTCGACCTGGGTAGAGCGCAGTGGCATCATCATAGCTCACAGCAACCTCCAACTCCTGGGCTTCAGCGATCCTCCTGCCTCAGCCTCCTGAGTAGCTGGGACTACAGGCACGCACCACAACGCCTGGCTAATTTTCTACTCCTAATTAGTAGAGACGGGGTCTCGCTCTTGCTCAGGCTGGTCTGGAATTCCTGAGTTCAAACGATCCGCCCGCCTGGGCCTCCCAGAGTGCTAGGATTACAGGCGTGAGCCACCGCGCCCGGCCGTAAGGTCAGATTCTCAGAGGGCAAACTTCTTCCACAAGAATTTGTGAGGGGACCTCAGCCTTGCCCCCAAGTGCTGGCAAATGCTAGGAGCTGCATACCTGAACAGTGTCATTGCTAAGGTCACGGAGGGGCAATAAGCAGCATCTTTAAGGCCCAGAAGGGAGGGACTGGGTAGGACCCAAAGGGAGGGTGTACAGTGGCCAGTCTCTGTTCCCATCAACAGCATGGGGCGTGGGGTGAACATCTCATGCCAGTTGGGAGGGGCCATTGGGCTGCGGTAACAGATCCGCCCACAGCCTTGGGAGCTCCAGCTGTGGAAAGAAAACCTGCAGACGTTCTGGAAGGTGCCTTCGTCGTTGGCGCAGAGGTGCTGTGGCTGTGAAGGAGCCGGGGGTGGGTTTTGCACACTGTGCCCCCAGTTCGTGTTCCTGGCTGGCAGTCCTGGGCTGAGTGTCCAGAATCTTGTGCTGAGCCCCGATGAATGCCACCGTACCGGCTGACCCTGTACTCCAGCCAATGGGTTCCTCTTCCCTCTGTGTGGGGACCTGGGTCATCCACCTAGATCACTCTCCTGCCCAGCACTCCCGACCTGCATGGCGGTCTCTGGCTTGCTTGACCCTTTGGGGGTGGATCGGAACACGTACCCCCTCCAGACTCTGTCAGGAAGCTTCACTGTGCCCCTGAAGTCCTCTGCCAGACAGCCGGGTGTGCAGAGCCAGGGGTGCAGAGAGCTGGTGCATTCATGTCCCTGGGCAGTGCCTGCCCTGCCCGTTCTCTCTTCCAGTTTGACTCTGAAAGGGAAGAGTGTGCTGGGAAGTAGAGGGGAACGAGGTCTGAGGGAGGTCTGGGCTGAGTCCCTGGAGCCTCCAGTTCTGGGCTCCGTGGGGGCATCATCCCCACTCTGTGAGCGTGACCCAGCCCTGATGGTGTGATGCCGGCTGGGCAGTGGATCTGATGGGCCCCTGGCCCTGGCTACGCCCCCAGGACTACCCCGGCGTCTTCTCGGCTGGCCTGGACCTGACAGAGATGTGCGGGCGGAACCCAGCCCACTACGCCGAGTACTGGAAGGCAGTGCAGGAGCTGTGGCTGCGGCTCTTCCTCTCCAACATGGTGCTGGTGGCTGCCATCAATGTGAGTGTCCCCACTCCCACATGGCCTTGCTGGCCCAGGGGGCAGGGGCAGACCCTGGTCCAGCCCTCAGAAGCTCTTGGGGGGAAGGGGCAGTTGGGGAGACATGCACAGGTGAGTGCCATGGCAGACCACGTGACACGTGGAGAAGGTGGGCCGGGTGGGTAGCTGCAGAGACGGCCTGAGCCGGACACAGGGAGGGGAGAGGTCCAGTGGGTGGGGACCGGGCCTGTGGTCCACACGGACCTGGTGGGAGGCCGTGCCAGGGCAAGTGGATGGTTGGATCCCATTTGGGAAACATCACTCAGACCTGGCCCCAGGGAGACTGAACCCTGGGAGCCAGTGTGCTCCAAGGGGGTGGCAGTGACAACCCAGGCGAGGTTCACAGAGGGCCGAGCTGGGCAGAGGGGAGGGCTGGCGTGAGAGGCGGCAGCAGCAGCAGACCAGAGGTGGGGGTCTGTTTGGGGCAAGGGGTGCATGGGGCGAGGACACAGGATGGGTTTGGAGTTCCCAGGACATCCTGGTGGGATTGGCTGCTAGGGGTGGTACAGGGCGCCATGGGGCCATGATGTGAAGTGATAGCTCTAGCTAAATGCTGTGTAGCATTTCAGCACTGGACAGAAGCTGTAAGAGGAAAAGGCAGCTTGCTACTCTAACCACACGGTGCAGAAAGGAGTGATTTTTCTGGCCCCCGAGAGCCGACGACCCTGTCATCAGGGGCCCTTGGCCGATGGGCAAGCCTGAGACGCTTGCTGACCCCTGAGGGGCCAGTTCCTTCCCTGTCTTTTTCCCGTCTCGAACACCCCGCCCAGACAGTGTCGGTGCAGAGCCCTGGGGTGCCTGGGGGACCTTTTCTCGGGCGTCCTCACACCCAGCCCTATGGTTACGACTGGGACCAGCAGCACCTCCAGCATCCCCATGGTCTGGCCTCTCCCTGCAGGGGGCTTGTCCTGCGGGAGGATGCCTGATGGCCCTCACCAGCGACGTCCGTGTCCTAGCCGACAACCCCAACTTTGTCATAGGACTGAATGAGACCCAGCTGGGCATCGTCGCCCCCTTCTGGTAAGGCCGGGGGCTGCACCCATACCCAGCGGTTGGCTCTCGGGGAACAGACCTACCTGCCTGGGAGCTCCAGAGCCACCAGGTGAGTGGGTGTCTGCATCCCAGGTTCAAAGATACCCTCGTGAACACCATCGGGCACCGAGCCTCAGAGCATGCCCTGCAGCTGGGGCTGCTCTTCCCGCCGGCCGAGGCCCTCCAGGTGGGCATAGTGGACCAGGTGGTGCCTGAGGACCAGGTGCAGAGCACGGCGCGCTCGGTGATGGCCCGCTGGATGGCCATTCCAGGTGAGGAGCGCAGGGGTGGGCCGCGGCCCATGATCCTGGTGAGACCGGAGTGTTCCCACACCGAGAGCTTCCCTGCACGCTTGCGGGCTGTGGGAGTCCTGGGCCGCATACACCGCCCCCTGGGCGGCTAAGACCACAGAAACCTGTTCGCAGTCTGCAGACCAGGGAGCCAAAATCAAGGTGTGGGCAGGGCCGCATCCCTCCAGAGGCTCCAGGAGAGGATCCGTCCTGCCTCTCCCAGCTTCTGGTGGCTCAGGCATTCCTTGGCTTGTGGCCACATCACTCCGCTGTGTGCCACCACCCTTTTGTGGCGTTCTCCCAGTGCGTGTCTGTGTCTCAGAGCTCCCTCTCCCTTCCCTTCTAAGGACACCTGCCACTGGACTTAGGGCCTACCCAAATCCAGTGATGATCTCAGTTACATCTACAGAGACTTTTTCCAAATAAGGTCACACCTAACAGGTTCTAGAGCGGTGGTTAGGACTTGGATCCGTCCTTTTGGGGTCCACTTTTCAACCTACTACAAAAACAATTGAAATCTGCTTGTCTGTGTTGCCGAAGTAGGACTGGTCATACCAATCATGATACAGACCAGGGACCAGCCGCCTCCCTCTAAAAAGGGCAGATAGCTTGTCAGCTCTGTAGGTAAGATCTTTGTTGCCAGGAGGCCACTGCAGCGTGGAGCCACTGTTCCGTACAGAACACAGAACCAACGGGCTTCCATACTGTGTTCCAGTAAGACTCTGTAGACCGAAATGTGAGTTTCACATAACTTCCACATGTCACAAAATACTTTTGATATTTTTCAACTATTCAAAAATGTAAAAACCATTCATAACTCAAGAGCCTTGGGGAGCCGGATTTGCCAACCCCTCTACAAATGACTGAATACCACGCAGCCATTAATTATGCAGTAAAAGCATAGTTAGTGACATGGGAAATAGGCTCAATAATATAATTATGTGAAAATAACATATTAAAAAAGCAATTTTGGGCTGGGCACGGTGGCTCACACTTGTAATAGTAGCGCTCTGGGAAGCTGAGGTGGGAGGATTACTTGAGGCCAGGAGTTAGAGACCAGCCTAAGCAAGAGCAAGAGACCCCATCTCTATAAAAAAAAAAAACAGAAAAATCAGCCAGGTGTGGTGGCTCACGCCTGTAGTCCCAGCTATTTGGGAGGCTGAGGCAGGAGGATTGCTTGAGTCCAGGAGTTTGAGGTTGCTGTGAGATATGATGATGCCACTGCACTCCAGCCCAGGTGACAAAGTGAGACCCTGTCTCAAAACAACAAAAAAAACAATGTTTACAGAATCATCTAGTATGATTTTAAAAGAAGTCGGTGGGGCAGAAACACTGTTCCTACCAGAGTTTGAACTTGCATAGAAAGCTTGGGAATGATCCTACTCTCTCTAAAAGTGGGTTTTCACCAGTGGACCTATTTTCTTTAGACCATGCTCGACAGCTGACCAAGGCCATGATGCGAAAGGCCACGGCAGACCGCCTGATCAAACAGCGTGATGCGGACATCCAGAATTTTGTCAGCTTTGTCTCCAGAGACTCCATTCAGAAGTCCCTGCAGACGTACTTAGAAAAGCTCAAACAAAAGAAAGGCTAGTGACTGGGCTGCCACAGGGCTTTTAGCCACATGTGCCCCTCTGGGGGCCTATGGTCCCAACAGGGTCTTAAAGTATTTTTCAACTTAAAAGTACTTTTACCCCTTTGTTCTGCTAATCTTAGAAGGTCCTGCTCCGTGTAGCCCTGTGTCCCAGGGCCCCAGCGCCGCCCACCAGAGTGCCTTCTGTGCCTGGCTGGCACCAGGGGGTCAGGAGTGTCCTGACTTGGGATCATGAACTGGCAGGTGGGGCCGTTCTGGACCTTAGCAAGGTTGCCACTGAGTGTCCCTTTTCCCAAAGCAGAACTGAAAATAAATTCCTTGGGTTGTCCCAGCCCTGGGCTGCCTGCTTGCTGGAGGCATAAGGCCAGGTAGTCCTGGCCTGACCCACACAGGACCCGTGAAGAAAAGCCCTTGACCATGTGCTTGTTCGTTTGGGTGAGAGAGCAGACGGTGGTTCAGAGAAACTGGGGGCACTTGAGAGGGGCGCGGGACGCGGACTTGCTAAGAGGCATGCTGTGCTGCTGGAATCCTAAGTTTATTTTAGCACGCTTGTCCAAATCCTTGAAGTAAAGCTGTTTCCTCTCAGGACTCAGGCCAGTTCCCAAATTCTGCCAAAGATGAGATGTTTCAAAAACCGGAAACCCCACCAGGTGCCTGTCAGTGACATGGTGTGCCCACGGGACTGCTTGGTCCTGACCCTAATGGGGGGTGGCCTCAGCACAGAGGCGCCTCTGACCGGCCCTTGTCCAGCCCAGGGCTCCTGAGGAGGACACTACACAGGAAGGGACCCTGGAAGGGCTGTGCCATGGCATGGTGTGCAGTTCTCTGAGAAGGACGCAGTCCCCAACCACCTGCCTGGGTTGACAGAGGAGTCCAGCCCCTCCACTGCTGAGGGGCTCCCCAAAAGTTCCAGGGGAACTGACCAGCTGGGTTACGGGGCCAGCCTCCCTGACCTCCATGCAGTGGTGGGTGAGACAGGACCCAGGGTATAGACAAGTACCCAAGGGTCCCTGCAGGACCCAGGAATGGGGGCTGCAGGGTGGGCATGGGGAGACCTGCTCTGAAATCCACCAGGGCCCAGGAAGCTGGCAGGGGCGCTGGCGCCATAACTGCCCCAGCTGTACTCACAGTTCCAGTTCTCGGAGGCAGTTACGGTTCACACAAAGAAAGAACAGGAACTTCCCAGAGGTGGCCGATTCCCGCCAGGACACGAGAGGGCAGGTCAGGCTATCCCTGTCCCCTAACAGACCTTGGACCATGTACCAAGCCTCATGCCCCGAAGGGCTGAGTCCTGAGCAAAGACATGGAGGCCTTGGAGCCAACCTGCGCGTGGTCCTGGCTCAGAGCAGCTCGCTTATCGAGCACAGACGTGTGCCCAGCACTGCAGCCAGTGCCCTTCATGGGGACTCTTCCTGACAACCCTGAGGTGGGTGGTGTAGCCCACCTCACAGGTGGGCGAAACTGAGGCTCTGAGTGGTCCCAAAATGGGTCCATAGCCACTTGTCCATGCCCAGCAGACCCTGCCCTGTGGCCTCACTGGGGGTAGCTGCCACCGAAGGAGCCACTGTGGGGCCATTCCAGGGTGTGGGCCTCGGGGCTGTCAGTGGGTCTTGAGGGTCACTTCCACAGGAAAGTGGTCGCTGATGGCGAGAGCCTGGAGGGAGAAAGGACAGACCCTCAGGGGTCTTGCTGGGCGGCCTGTCCTCCCTCTGGCTCCACCTTGGAAAGCTGCCTCCACCCCCCGTCGGGCCAGATGGGTGTCTACGAACCACTGCCCTTGTGGGGAGGCGTCCAGTAAGTGTCCAGCCCTGCTGCTGCCAGTGCCGGCGCAGGGGCCGGGGTGCAGATGGGCCAACGACAAGGCAAAGGGACACCGCCCTGCCTTCCCGGAATTGTTCTGCTGGTGGCGGGACGGAAGCCCCAGTGCAGGAAGGGGAGCACCAGGGGTAAACCGTCCAGGGGGCGCTGAGGTGGGGCCCGGCCCTGGGCAGCAGTTTGCTGCCTGGGTGGCCTGGGAACCCCGGGGCCGCGGGCCGCGCGCACGCCCCCGCCCGCACTCGCCTGAGTCTGGTCCAGGCCGAATTCCTCCTGGAAGTCGCGCACCGCGGCGGACTGGGGCTTCAGGCTCCTGCGCAGGCGGGCGCCGCACACCACGATGCGGTCGTAGGCGCAGTCCGAGTTGCCCACCGTGGTGTCGGCGCTGTCCGGGATCAGCCACTTGAAGACCTCGCTGCTGCGCAGGCGGATGGCGGCCCAGTCCTGCGCCCGCACGTAGCTGCAGTCGGCGTTGAAGTCGCCCAGGAACAGCATGTCCTGCGGGCGCCGCGGGGCCGGGTCAGAGCCCGCCCGGAGGGGCCGCCCCAGCCCCACCCGCGATGGCCGAGACCCCCGGGGCGCGCCTACGGAGACCCTGGGACCAGGGCGGACGCGGGGCTCACGTCGGTGCCCCACTTGTCGATCACGTCCAGGTACACGTCGTAGAGAGCGTCGATCTCTGCCACGGCGTGGCGCGGCGCCGCGTGCAGCGGGATCAGCACCAGCTCCCCGGCGGCTGCGGGCGGGGGCGGGGCGTCAGGGCGGGGCCCGCGGGAGGGGCGGGGCCCGCGGGAGGGGCGGGGCCCGCGGGAGGGGCGGGGCCCGCGGGAGGGGCGGGGCGGCCTCACCTGAGCCCGGGGCTGAGACCTTGACCACGAAAGGTTCGCGGCTGAAGGCGTCCACGGGGTCGGGGTACTGGTACGTATCCACGACCGACACTGTGTCTTTCCTGGGAGCAGAGAACAGGCGGTCGCCCTGAGCCGCCACCTCCGGCCCGGCGCGCCCCCTCTCCTCGGCCCGCCCCTCACCTGTAGACGAACAGGTACATTTCCTTGTACTGGTCCCGACCCAGGGGCTCGCTGCTCACAAAGCTGTACTCGTGCTCGGACACGCTGCGGAGATACGGGCCAGGCCCGGGGTAAAGGCGCTGCGCAGAGGCCTGGCATCCCGGCCGGGGGGCGCGACGCGGAGCCCGGCCCGCCACACCTGTTGATCTGCTCCATGAGCGCGGATACGGCGCTCAGGTCTGGGTCTCGCACCTCCTGCACCAGCGCGATGTCATAGCCGGCCAGGATCTGGGGAGGAGCCGGCAGGTGCGGGGTGATGCGCGGCCAGCCGCCCCCGGAGACAGCTGCAGCCCCGCCCCGAAGCTCGGGCCGCGCTCCCTGGCCTCACCTGTGCGATGACGCTGCCGCAGGCTGAGTCCGACACTTTGTTGTCTCCGAAGCTCTGGATGTTGAAGGCTCCAATGCGCAGCGAGGCGGCCCCGGCGGCCCCCAGCGCCCAAAGCGCGGCCAGCAGGACCCGGGTCCCACCCATGGCGCCGAGGGGGCGCGCTGGGAGGGACAGACGGCGGCCGGCGTGAGCGTGGACCTGGGGTCAGCCACATGGACCCTTCCTCTGCCCGCCGCCTGCCCAGCTGGGTTGGCGGGTGTGGAGGCGCATCCTTCGCCGGCCTACGCTCTCCAGGTCTCCCCAGAGTAGCGCACTGGGCTCTCGGCCCCTAGTGTTCTGCCGCTGCGTGGGGAAACTGAAGCCCGAACAGAGGAACCCCGGTCCCGTCCAGTCCCCAGCCTCCCGCTCTACCCAGCCCCGAGACTCACCTGGGATGTGGCTGAGGCAGTAGCAGAGGCTGAGGGCCTGGTCCAGTGGGGATCCTGGGTCCTGGCTGGGGGCACGTCCCGGCGCAGGACCAACTGCCCAGACTTGGTCGGGAAGCAGCTCTGGCGCCAGGGCACGGGTATTTGTGGCCTTGGTCCAGGGAGGGGCCGGCTGCGTTGGGTCCCACCCCCTTGATGGAGCTGGATGCTGGGACTCTTGGCTCCCCTTCCCATGGAGACCCCGAGGGCAAGGAGCAGGGGATCTGCCTGAGCCAGCCCTGGTGCCCTAGGCCGGGTCCCAGAACCAGCTCAGAAGCCCCTGCCAGCCCCCCAAGGGCAGCCTCAGGGCTGGCAGAGGATCAGCCAGAAGCCAGGCACCCAGAATTTGCCTGCTTGAGTGGCATCACCTTAGGGAAACTAAGGCAGGGCACTCAGGAAAGACCAGCCCGGGTCCAGCCCAGCATCCCTGCTGCTCTGACACGTCCCCACCTCGGGGTAAAAAGCCAAGGCTGCTCTGCCCACCCCCATGGCAGCCCTGGGGCTGGAGGCTGGGCAGCAGCGCCCTCCGCCCACCATCCCACAGGCCTGAGGAAACCGGGGTCATGGGTCTAGCTGGGCAGGGCAGCAGCAGCAGGCTGCCTGTCGACATGCCAGTGACACCCACGCACCACCAAGGCGCCGCCAGGGCTGGCGGGAGCCCCTGGGCGGGGTGGACAGGCGCTGGGTTTGGGGTGGCCTGGGCAGGCAGGTGCTGCTGCCAGAGGAAGCTGCGAAGGTGGTGAGCCAGCCCCAGGCTGTCACTGCCGCAACATCACAAGATGCAGGTTTTCATGTTTTATTGTAAAGCAACAAAAAACTGTATTTACACTCCCCTTCTCCTCTGCACGTCTGAATTCTGTGCCATCTTCTCTACCAGGCCAGGCAGGCCTGGGCAGGGCTGGCAGACACCCTGGCCCAGCTCCAGCCAGCAGCGATCCACAGGCCTCCATGCTAGATGACAACGGTCCGCACCTCAATCTGACCCTCGGGCGAGGCGATGACCAGCTCGCCCGCATGCTCCAGGATCTCAATGTCCTCCGATGACACCATGGTCACTGTACCCTGTTCGGTGCCATTTGCACCTGCTCGGGCCGTGAGCACAGTGCCCTCACTGATGGCTGAGGCCAGCGTCATGGCCACCTGCTCCGTCAGGCTCTCAGGGGTGGCGATGGTGATGGTGTCGGAGGCAGCTGCTTCTGGGCCCAGCCCTGCCTCCTGGTCCACGGTCACATTCTGCACAATGATCTGATGCCCGGCGCTGGCCTGGTGCACCATCTGCTGCACCACCTTCATGATGTGGCTGTCCACCTGCGGGGGCCCACGGCTCAGCCCAAAGGGCTGCGAAAGGGAGCCAGGCCACCCCGCCCCTCGCCCACCCCTCACCTCTGTCTGGGCGCCCTCAATGATCTCCGTGGCTTCACTGGTCTCAGCATCGTCTGCAGTGGCCTGGGCAGACAGTCAGAGGTCAGCCTTGGCTGCCCCGGGCCCTATCGCAGCCAACTGGCCCAATACGTACCTCAATGATGTACTCCTGGGTGTCAGCCACCACGGACGAGAACTCCACTAACACCGTGTGTGGGTCCTCTGCAAGGACGGTGGTGGCTGCCTCGGGGCTCTCCTCGGACCACAGCAACTCCTCCACCTCCAGCAGGCAGCCCCCTGCCAGTTGGGGGAGCTCGGTCAAGGCTCGGTGAGTCCCGGCCCCTCGCCCTCTCCCACTGCCTGCCACCTGGCATCCCTGACCTTTGGTGCGCAGGTGCCGGTTGAGCGTGCCGTGCTCGGCAAAGCCACGGCCACACTTGTAGCACTTGAAGGGCTTCTCGCCCGTGTGGTGCCGCACGTGCCGCACCAGCGAGCCCTTCTCCCGGAAGCCTCGGCTACAGAACTGGCACACGTGAGGCTTCTCCTCCAGGTGTGTCCGGAAGTGCACCTGTTGAGCATTCTGTAGAGGCCCGCTGTCAGTACCAGCCTGGCCTCAGCCACCACAGACTGCGCTTTCCCCAGCCACCTCTGGGTTCAAGTGAGGGCCTAAGCCCGAGACTGCACAGACTCGGGGTGACAGGGGGCAAGGAGGGGCAGTGTGGGCAGGGAACAGGGTGCCTCTGGCCCCAAGGCTGGAGAGCTAAAGGATTGGGGGGGGGGTCAGGCACCGGGGTCTTGGGGCCAGAGGCCCACCTTGGTCTTGTAGCACTTGCCACATTCGGGACAAGGGTAGGGTCGCTCGTCTGAGTGGACACGCCGGTGGCCACGCACGTGGGCGATGGTCTTGTAAAGCTTCCCGCAGTCCCCACAGCGGAAGCGGCGCTCGTGCACGTGCACCTCCTGGTGCTTCTTGAGCAGGTAGGCCTTGGGGAAAGCCTTGCCACACTGCATGCAGGTGAACGGCCTCGGCCCTGCGACCACATGCCGCATCAGGCCCGGCCCACCGCCCTCGGGCCTGCTCGGCCACCTGCTGCCTGCCCACAGGCCACCCTCAACACCCACTGCCCACAGGCCCACACTAGACACTCAATGGCCATCTACTGCCCACGGGCACACACCCTCCTGCCACCCACCTGCATGGCCCCTCTTGTGGGCCTCCAGGGTGGCTGCTGTTGGGAAGGTCTCACTGCACTGAGGGCACGGGTGGGTCCTGGGCACAGCTGAGGGCTCACTGGCCACCTGCTGGGGGACCACAGGCAGGCCTCCAGCACCCACTGCAGGCTGTGCCCCAGAAGTAACAAGGACATGACCACGGGCCCCACCCTGGCAGGCTCCCTTGTGGCCCCAGGGAAGACAGGAAACAGATCAGTGGACAAAGTCATAGCAGAAAGAGACACCACTCTCTGCCACAGAGTGTGAGGAGCATGGTGACCGGGCCTCCAGGGTCTGGCCCCTGGAAGGAGTGTGCTGGCAACACAGGCACCTACTGTCTCCATCGGCTGCACCTCCAGCAGTGGCAGTTCCGGGGCGCCATCTCCCAAGGGCTGGGGACTGGACCCGGCGGGAGGGGCTGGATCCAGGGCACCCTCCTCTCCAGCAACCCGCTCGAGGACGATGCCAGAGTTCTGCATGGCCTGGTGCAGCAGGTTCTCACGGCTGCCCTCGCCGGGACAGGGAAGCTCTTCAGGGACTGGGGGCTGTGGGGCAAGTGGAG